AATAATAATAATAGTAATAATAATAATAATAATAATAATAATAATAATAATAATAATAACAATAATAATAATAAAACCTCAATTTGATGGGATCGCATAAGCGTTGAATAGAGTGGGAAGCCAGGTGACGGCACGAGGATGTTGTCGCCTGGATTAGCGAGTACTTCGATGGCCATCTGAAGTGCATGCGAGCAGCCACTTGCTAGAATGACATCGTCTGCAGTGATCGGTGCCTGTGGTGTACTGAAATGACGTGCAACCGATTCTCTTGCTTCTACATAGCCAATTGCCGGTCCATAGCCGTTGTACTTATGACTTCTGAGTGCGGTTTCGATAGCAATTTCGGCCACTGGAGAAGGTGGAAATGAGCCGGTCAGCGATGGGTCACCAAGATGAAGTTTGATTAGTGATTTGTTCGGATTTGGAGCAATCGACATTGTATCGCAAACCTGTCGAATCGGATTCACAGTATGTTTGGCGTGTTCTGATACCTCATAAATATCCCATGACGCATCATTCTTACCATTATCATTCCATTTTTGTGCACCCTTCACCACCTGCAACACAGCTTGAGAGACATTGACTCTTCTCAAACGCTAGTATTCATATTAAATGCAAGTTTTGCTTATAGATGAAAACAATAGAGTTGCTATTTTAATAATCATTAATCGCTAGTATACACTGAAATAATCACATCTAATCTCAATGAATGCACAGAGTTGCTAATTGCTTCGATTAAATGAAATCTACAAACCTTCGAGAAGTTCATATTTGGCGATGGTGGATATATCTGTTGTATGGGATGATGACATGTCGAGTTAATGTTGAGATTTGTGATATCATGAATTTGCTTTGGGGCATTAAGTGTTTCCTTCTGGCATAATGATTCATCATTGTGACGCATTTTCTGCAACCCAGAGCATTTAATTCAGAACATTCAACGTGCTTTTTGAGCTGCTTCTAGCTTTAACAATGATTCCGATTTTAGAATCACCAATTTCATGGAGATTATACACTGACGAATGTGTTCACTTCGTTTAACCTATTAACTGATGAGTGCTTCCGATCAACAACGGAATGCTTAGAAAGTGAAATTCATCAAAAAGTAAAGCACAAATTACGTATCAATGACCAATGATTTTATACACGTATTTTATAAATATACACACATTTATATACATATTCTATAAATATACACACACGTATGAAAACGAACGAAGACGCAAAAGAAAGCAACAGCAAAAACGTGAAGACAGTTCATTCAGTTAATTCAATCAACCAACTGACTGCCCCTATTAGTCATAACGCATCTTCTTCTTCATCTATCTCAGCACACCTGTAACCGAACAATACTTTTAATATACCTATCAATTTAATCACATATTTTCGTATATATACTAAGATTAATAAAATGTTCACATTGAAGAATTTGCCGCCCGCCCACCATAATGCAACGAAATCATGCGCCATTTCGTTGCTTCTATCGGGTTGATTCACTTCGACTTCATGTTATAATAGTCGTTCTTTTAGATGTTTACTCCACTGAATGTACGGTAATCAAACGCACCAATCACTTACTTCATTATTGGAGTGCCAATATACAATACTTAGCAAACAAACTACTTGAGAAGGAGTGCAACAATGCATTCATTACGCAGTTTGTTGCTGTTATTTTCGTTTTGTTAGCAGTATCGTCGTAATCGAATATCAATATCAGTTATTGCTATTTCTGACTGAAATGAAATTCATGCAAAAACTCATTGTCATTCGTTATTATGTGATCGAGCATCACGAACTGTCTAACTGCGCATCTGTTATGTCATTGTCTGAATGCATGCATTATTATTACTAGCTGCATACTCTCTAGTTAATAATAATTTTTCATATTATCATTGCTATCAAACGTTTGTAGCAATAACCTGAAGAATTAAACTGCTCTTTAGTGAAATAAGTTTTAGCGCTTTTTGCGCCTCCCACTCACATCAGTTCTTTGAATGGTTCCATGCATAACAATACGAAGAACATCATACGATTCCATGTTTTATATCATCATATTTTCTCTTATTGCATTTTATCAGCCTACCTCACATCACTTCATAACTTGTTATATCATGTCTTATCATATTAAATTCAAAATACAAAACTGCCATAAACATCAAGTGATCAAAAAATCATTGATCAACAGTTGTGACTTAATCAAATTGATTCGGTTCAGATCAGCAGGACATTAATGAGCACATACTTAATTTGTGATCAGTTATAACGCAATGATTAATAATTCATTGATAAAACTCGTCCAATTTCTTCTTTAATTTCGGGAGGATTGACGATGATCTGTTTCGAGGAAAACTGTCAAATAAAAAATTACCACATGATCTTTTTTGGCAAATAGTTATGTTCGCGATGGTTCTTGTTAATTGGATTGGAAGGAAGTGCTGTTGAATACTTGAATTAAATGTGTACATTAAGTATTAGACTGTTGTTGACACATAGTATGAGATAGAATTGATGAATTATCAAGCAGTTAATGGATTAATGAGGAGTGGAACTATTTGCAGAGATGGATGATACAGCGAAATGATGCTATAATAGCAACCAAATTTCAATCTTCAAATAAGTGCACTGCCAATTAAAATTGCGCAATCAACAATAATTGAATTAATTCGATGGGAAATGAAATCCGCAATTAATAAAAAATTTCACTATTTCATTATGTTTTCGGTTACGACTGATTGTTATTATCATTATTATTACTATTATTATTGTCATTATTATTATTATCGCCATTATTGTTATCATCATTATTATTTGTTATTACAATATCTAAGATTATCAAAATTCTCGATCAGGTTCATCCTCTAATCAAAATAACGCATCGTAATATAGCAAATCAACCGATTGAGCTCCCAGCCTAGTTTATGCATTATTATTAAAACTTTACAAAAATCATTGCAAATTACTTCGATGCATTTTGAAACGTCAACGAAATGTGATAGCGTTGAATAACGAATGAATCTTGGCAGTGTAATGCGATGGTTTCTTCTTCAATTAATTTGCTCATCAATCACTCTCAACAAAATCGTATTTATTTTGCACTAAGATCTACGATCGTATTGTGATCATCATCATCATTTTTACTGTTGATACCGATGACAACAACAACAAAGGTAACAGTAATACCATTATCCTCGTCAATATGCATGAATTTCGATAACTCGCCTATATTACACGTCTCATCGTTCACGTAATGAGGAAGACAGCACTGAAGATGTTTGAAATCTATCATCTGTGTGAAGTGAATAGTTTCATTTCAGCATAATGAATAAATTAATTCAAAAAAAACATGTAAACAATCACTCATTTGAAGTTTTTAAAAACTAAATCCGAGTTGCGATCAAATTTGAATAACGTATGCAATATTATCAATGTTATTATGAACAGTAATAATAATTTTAAAAAATAATAATGAAAATAATAAAAACAATAATAATAATTATTATCATAATAATAATAATTATTATTATTAACATTGATGATATTTGTTATTCTTATTATTATTTCTAAAATAATAAGAATAACAAATATCATCAATGTTAATCTTCCAAGTAATAATAATGATAAAACTGTTATTAATAATGAGAATGTTTCTGCTAAGAATGTTCATGTGAATGGAGGCAATATAATTGTTGAAGTGACGCCATGAAAAATTTTTTAAAAACATCAGTGAAATTCATTCATACACACCCACATACGTACAGAACATTCAATGATTCCACAAAATGTGATTTTATTGGAAAGATCAAATAAAAGATTAATTATCACAACAAATATAAACAAAAAATGACATAATAATGAGATCAGTTGTATTTTGATCATATCACCGGAGCATTCCAAATAGTCATCTACGTCTTGCTTGTGGTCACCGAGCACTGACAAGTTTTGAGAATGAGCCGTATCCCAGACAAAACGGAATGGAACCGTTTCATGAATGCTTTGCAAGTTCGTCGTTTACTTTCATTTCATGCTCGATTCAGTGCCTAGTTGTATTGGTCAGTCACATATCTAATCGAAAATCTGGTTCTGCTCTTCATTCAAAAAAGGATGGTAAAGTATGACATTGTCCACAACTTTTGCTTCGAATTATTAACAAACAAGCGGACGGATGTCTTCTCACTCCTATGACTACTGCTTCCACTGAGATAATTTGTTACAAACTAGTATCATACAATACTTTGTTACAGCAACAATGATAATACGTCATACTGACAAGAATATCAAACATATAGTTGATAACAATGCTATTAAGAATATACTGTAATGAGATCATCAGAATCGAAATAGATCAAAATTTTCCAACAGTTTTGGAAATTACGTTCACCTTTTGTTCAGTCATGTTCATGTCATATAATACTTTGATTCCTTCCAAATAGACACAAAATAATAATAATAATAAATAATAATAAGAATAATAATAATATCAATAATGATAATAATAATAATAATATTAATATTAATGTTAACAATAATAGTAATAATAATAATAATAATAAGAATAATAATAGTAAGGTAATAATAATATTATAATAATAATGATAACAATAACATCAATCAATGAACCACTGCCATATTCAAGTGAACTGAAAGCAATCAAAAAATTATTACTTAGAATTAATGAGCAGTCCAAAGTATTCAAGTTATTTTTGCAACTTTCAAGCAAGCCTTGTGGTTGTTTGTAACGATGCGGTAAACGGATTTACAGCTCCAAACGGTGCAAAGCCTGCAATTATTATGATTGTCATTACTACACATCTACAAATAACTGTTCAATATCATATTAATATTTCGAAATTACAAATCACAATTATGTCCTTGTGCTTCTGCGCTATTCTCATATCGGTCGTTCATTGAATTAACTCAATTGCTGCTATTTGATCAGCTTTCAATTCTTGAGGTTTATGAAGAAATGTGAAAAGAACTCACTTGAAGGAGCGTTAAGAAATTGGGCAGCAGGTGAGGCACTCATCGATGCTGAATAGGTGCCCTGGTAGACAGCGGATGATAACGAATGAGGCACGGCGCCGCTACCGTAGGCTGGCAATGCTCTTGGTGATGTATGTGAGCGTGTATAATCTTTAATGGTGTTCATAAATTTTTTATTTGTATATGACATTTACAAATAAGTAATATTAGTACAAATATCGATGTTTAGTCATAACTTGCATATGCCATATCGTATCATTATTTTGTTGGTTTGCTGTCAGTGAGCCTGGTTTAACGTTATCTAACTTGCATACAAATCCCTCATTAAAACAGCCTGTCCCGATGTCAACGATTCACAATTTGTGAAAGTGTATCAAATACGAACCATCTTCGCCAGATGTGATGGATTTCAACCGCTTCATAAGCGAAAATACCTCCACAGAAGGAACTTTTGTGCTCATGTGTTAATTGCAATTGTCCACTTTTGTGTTTCATCGTACTAATCTGATGCAAGCGCTATAGGCGTTAAAATGTTTCAACTCGCAAGCAAGTATTATGATATTGATGATCATTTCTGTCTGTTCGAATTGAATAGTGATAATCAAGAAACGTCCAATTGAAAAACACCTGTATTTGCATCAAATTGTGCTGTATACGCAGATGCATAATGTGACAATTGATCAGCGGGTGTTCGTGGAGGTGGTAGCGTGAACTGCTGACTACAAATCGATTCAGGAAATTAGTACTAAATTCGACGATTTGACTGCAGACAGCGGTGGTTAATATTAGAGTTCTCAACGAAATTACTTTGCAAAAAACGTAAGGAAAATTGTGGTATGGTTACTGTAAAGTGAACAAAAAAACTGAAGATATAATCGACAGTTTCAACCACCTATTGTAAAGTGCCTCTGCTAATTCAGCGGCCCTCTTCAATATAAGTTCTTTTGGAAGTCTTTCCGGATCTCCCGGATATTTTGGCAATAATTTCTGCAACCTTTGAAATCCAAAGTCGATACTTGGCTCCGATAAGGCTGAAAATGAGTAGCCTTTTTGCATATTATATATTGAGTCAAATTGAAGTGGCACAAGAAAAATTTTGATCAGTAGTAATTGACGGTTGACTAACGTTGAAACAATGGTATTTATCAATAACTGATGATGAAAGTAGCCGACTGCCTTGAAGTATTGACAGTTTTGAGTTGACGGACGAACGTCAGTTAGAATACGAGCATTTTATCGGGTGAAAGAGCGAAAAGAAATGAATTATACTCACAGATGTAAACGAATCGACCAGGATTTCCTCGATTCAGCTGTTTTGATTTGTATAAAAGAGTGACTTCAACTACACCGGGCATATGACGTGGTGGTGTTGTAACTCGCATTGCGTGTGGTGTGATTATTTGAATTGACTGAAATCATTTTATTCCACTCACATCATTTCGGATTATTATAATCACTTTCGATCTCAGAATTATTATCAATTTAAGAAACATTTCTTTAGCGAAACTATGCGTCGTGTTTAGCAGTGAGATGTTTTATTGAACAACTGGAAAAAGCTGAGCTCTTGTGGTAAGAAGAAGCAAGTGCTAATGATGGGGAGTGAAAGCATGAAACTTTGGATTCCAAAGAATGAAGCACTTTGAAGCATGAAACCACAATTAAGACCGATCTCCTGAAAGAACAACAAACCTATCAATGATAACCAACCTCATTCCAAACCGTTGTTGGGCCAAATGAAACTTGAAGACCTTCAAAGAAGTTTTCACCAATAATGATAACTGGAGTGCCACCTTGTGTCCATCCTTCACTCGGGCAAATTGCTTTGATAACTGGATTTGTTGTTACAGCAATATCCGACGCATCAGATATATCTGAATATGCGAACGAAATTAATATGTGCTTCAAGAATTTGGGCACTTCAAAGGGTTTCAAAGGGAGCACTTGATCTGAATTTTAGATTTCTATGATTCATTTTTGCAACACAATCTATAGCTATCGTCATCAAAATCGCTGTAATATAACAGACATTGCATCAAGATCGTACTCATCTATTATCACCATACAACTTCATTTGCAATATTCCGTCTTTATAATTAGAGTATCCGCTGTAATTGTAACAATGTTCATTCATACTTCTAACGATTAAGCCAGTCGCTACACTTTTTACCATCGATTGTTAGGTGCCTTAATTTATGTTGAGTGTAATTCGTTTTGATCACATCCCAAACAGTGAATACATACCATGCAAAATTTCTGGGTAATGTGCTTCAGATGAGATTTTATTTTCGGACTGCTGCAAAGTCAAGATACTCCTTCAAAAGCTCTTCGATTAAAAGTAAATCTATCAAAATCTATCACTATTCTCCTGGGAAAGAAGACATTATCCATATCAAATAGGAACGGTAGTGCCATTTATTTGGTTAACCAAAAAAATTACTAAATAAAAGTTGAAAAGAACAGGGCAACAACTAAGCGAAATACAGGCAATCAATTCCATATAATCTCCAATTGAATCAAATGTGTTCACTTAATAAATAGCACAAGCTATTGAATGTGCGTATTTGTACGTGAGCATGTTCCGAATGAACGGTATTGAGCGTATTTGTAGAATTAATAGTAGCAATAATTTTAGCAATTGGATGCCGCTATCACTACCAAATGATTCAACACTTACGTCTATGCTTGTCATACTGCTACTATTGCTTAACTTCATCGTAATAAATGTGTGTGCTTACACACAACTGAAAATCTTTCAAATCAAGCGATATTTATTGAATGTGAATGAATTACAAATCTGTCACTGATTGTTGCAGATAAATCAAGATAAATGGCCAACAGCAGCAACCACAAATCTGTCATGCATGCATCCATCTGACCAAGTATACAATAACTGCATCGTTTTAGGCAATCGCTACACACATCAGATCAATCCAACTACATCACGCATGCAAACGTATTGCATTTTTGAGATTCACTTCAATGATAAACACAACAAACAATAGTTGTCGCTAAATTGATATCAACTGCTAATATCAATTACATCGATTATGCCGTTTGAAAACATACTAAAATTTGATGAGTTCTATCGCCTGCTTGCACCCTATCCAGATGGACCATTCCTATTATTGTCACATCGATGTTACATCAATTATAATTTATTCGAACACTTCTGTTCCATCTTTTACATTCACTCTTTTCTATACGATACTTCATGAATTGAATAAACGATACTGCTCATAATGTTCCACACACATGTGAATACATATTGACATTGCTCAAACGTAAAATGTGACATTTAAATAAGTTCATTTGCATATTTGACAAAGCACAAACTATATCACAACAACAAGCACAACAATTTATTTCTGCAAGATCATCCATACACTCGTTACGCCAGCCGTAATGCTAGTCATACTATTCGCTCGTCATTCATAAATCAGCAATTCACAGATATGTCACTTATGATAAGTGGATAACATGAATATGCACAATAATAATATCATATCCTTTCATTCATTAATGAAACAACTATCGCTCCACTCTATCGCTCGCTCAGTAAAAAGCATCGATGCATTGCAAGTCATTTCATCTCGACCCTCGTCATTTTAGATGCACATCAACCATTTTCAATCGTGAGCTGAGTATTTCCATGAATGATAATTTATGTAAATAGTTTGATAAATGGCATTCGTGAAGATGGTCCACCAGAAGAGTAGAACTCATGTTTCGATGTCAAAAACATGGATGATTTTGATAAGCATGCGCATGGCCACAAAATGACTTGGGAAGATGGAGCACAGCAGCTGGTATGATAATAGTTATTCAGTAATTGATTATATACGGGTATCGGGCTTAAACCAATTTGAATTGCATTTGTTTACTGTTTCGTTTTGTCCGTTCAGTTACTAATAATTTCACCATCAAATGTCATTGCGCCAATACTTGTGGTATTTCATGAAAAAGGTTTCTATCATCATGAACGTCACGTCGGCATCAGCTTTGCTGACGATATGACCGCTCAATTTGTGAATGTTATAACGGTTGTGGTTAATGAAGTCAAAAAGAGGGCTGCTTAATAACCATCGAAGTTTTTGATGCCAATTCGATGGATAGTTGTTGGCCGTGAATAGATTCATTCATATGGATGATGCTCATCAACATGAATGGATGTGTTATGCCATAATTAAGCGCTTCCGATAAGCTAATTTAATTGTTTTCCCATTTTGTAGGAGCAGTTCCGTATTTACGACTGCTGCTGTTGTTGTGTATGAATAATGCTTCATCCAATCTTGCAAGCTTACGATCATTTATTTATCTACATACAACATATCCACATGTTCATCTTGATATGCACATACATATCTATGGATATACTATCGTACTAAATTCGTTCATGCATACTGCTCACGGAAATATATATAATATATATATCCATTCAAAGAGATTCCCTCTATGTGTGTATATGTGAAAGCATGAATATATATCCGACAGAATCAAATGCATTTCGCATCTATTCATCGATTCCATCCGCCAACACTTAATTATCTTATTGAGGAGAGCTTAACATCATCAACAACAACTAACTTATTTGAAGAGCTGCTAGCTGCTCGACAAGAGCTAATCCAATAAATTAATGCTAAATTGCAATTCACACCACCAAGAGTTACTCACTACCATTTCGATTAAAAATTACCATATCTCATCAAATACCATCAACTTGCCAAACAGATTTTACTCAATTTCAATTTTTACTTCAACTTTCACTCATTTTCAATGCAGTTTTCACTTTTCACTCATTTTCAATTATAATGGAAATTCTTCTTAGCTCAGTGTTTTATTGATGTCAATGCAGACAACACATTGATGCAATCACTAGTGCAAAAAATATGAAGTTTCAGTGATCACATTAAGTTGTGTTTATCCGGAAACAGCTGTTTCATGTAAACGAGTTTTAGATAGATGTTTTGTACAGAAACGTACATACCTTCGGATGGGTCGAGTCGTTTCGCTCTTCTGCCATGTTTCGAGTTATTATGAACGAACATATTATCCGATATTGCCAACAATGGGCCATCGACGTGCGCTGTTGTACCGAGAACAACCTGAATTGTCATTTTTTCCACAACTTTGCATGATCATAAGAAAAATGATGATGATTGCATTAACGCTTAAAATTATGACATAAGAGGAATCCTATCAATCACAGCTATTGATACCGTTATAAATGTGAGAATAAAACTGAAGAAAGCAGCACAAATGAAAACCATAACAGAGAGATGAAGAAAAATGCGACAAAAGAACAAATCGAGCGTAAATAGTGCATTCATTGTTTCAGTATTTAAGTTATGGTCATTTAATGGCCAGTGTTTATTAATCATTTTGAAGAAAAGTGTTTATTGGTCAGTTGCGGAAAGGTCAGCTATGAAGATATGCCTTTGATCGATGAATACAATAATAATATTGGATATGCGAATGAATGCTCATTCTAATAATCATCGACTATAACTTCAATAATGTTTTATAGGTACTAATGCGTGAATGCTGATAGCGGAACATATGGATGTTTGATCGGTCATAACATGAGCAAACGCAATGAAGTAAGGCTAAGAAATGTGATAGTGAGACGGAAATAAGTTACCTAAATTTAATTCTATTACAATGATTGAGTTATAAACAAGAAATGATCATTTTAAAAAATGATGAACAATCGATGAATATAGTGACGGTATATTCATCGAAATATTCATAAGTGAAATATGCAAATTGATGCTGATAAACCACCTGTTTTACAATGCTTGCTTCTTTCTTTTGTTAAATGCTTCAATAAGCATCTAATTATTCATTTCCATAACACATATCTGTTTGTGTTGCCAAATGTGCCCGTTCATCTTAATCTGTTGATGGATAACTATATTATAACTACTCATCAGATATGATACGTCGCTTAGTTATGCTTCTTTTATGACCCATCATCCTCATTTCCATACTATTCATAAAGTGTCACAAGGTTTTTATTTCATTCCAGATGTTCGTCCATCCGTCCCTCTTTCAACGAACGAACGAACGATCCACTGAATGCCTAGCCAGTCACCGGAAGTCTAGTTGCTTCAACGAATTAACTGACATTTCTGATTAAGACAATCGTGCATTCATATAGCCCATCATAAATGATTAGTCATATATGTATCCTCAGAATAAGTACGCTGGCTTTATCAACAAAACGAACTCTTATCAGTGTATAATGGAGTAGACTAAAGGAGAATGCTTCTGTCATATAGTATACAAACACTGCGACCAGTGATGACGATCAAATAATATGCAATGTACGAAAACAATATAACCAAACAATGAATCGAATCAATCGCTCAAACCTGGAATCGACGCATATCTCGCGGATTGCCAGCGTTCTTCAAACAATTCTGATTGCATTTGAGGAAGAATTTCAGAAAAAACCTGAAAATAAATGAAGAATATATTCAGTTAATCATTGCATGCGATTCTTTTCATTGCTATGTTGTTGGCTCTTTTCAGATTTGAACTGAAACGATGGGTAATCAAACAATCATCTGTAGATCTGTTTTAATGAATGCTATTGCATGAAAAAAAGCCAAAAGATAATTACTCATTGAATGAAATTATTCTGCGATATGACAGATTTGAGTTATGATTTCCGATATTTGAGTTCTTTGAAAGATTATTAGCACTGACAATTGCAACCAGTAAGGATTTATTTGGACGTTCATCATTCTCATCATCATCTTCTTCCTCATCGTAATTCCATGCAATAATTTTCATAATAATAACAGCATCAACGACACCAACAGTAACAATACTATCAATCTACATATTCCAGAGTCGTTCTTTTTCAACTGTTGTTCCCGGTGTTCGCTGATAGTGACTAATAAAATTATTCCTCAGAATAACACCCCCACCGCTGTCCAGTCATCATTACCTCACTTCGTCACTGATCCCTATTCATTCACTCATTTTACTTTCTCTTGTCCTTTACAATTCTTCTAGCATAGAATTTAGAATGTAATTTCTGTTAATATGATCGTCCTATATCTTATTGTTATTATCGTCGTATTCATGGTGCATATTTTCTATTCATTCATTTCGCAACATTTGTTAATTATTTCTTCCTTTTTAACAACATCAATTCTGTTGTTGTTCTCTATCGTCTTCATCATCGCGTTGTATACGTGTTGTAATTTTCTTCAAGAAACACATACGATCGATGAAAGGATCATAAAATGCAGTTTTAGTGCTTTCAATCTGCTTAATTAGGAATTTTTAGTGATTAGGTTGGTGCACAGTCGTCGTTCAGTCATGTATTCATTGAAACAAATGCTCACCATGCACCACCTATCTTTTGTCTGTCATTTTCATCTATTCAAAGCCTCTCTTAGCTGAAGGTTTCACGTCTACGTTCAGCACGCCTAATTCAAAGTTCAGTTTGCTTAGTGGCACGTTCTTTTGTCGTACTTCATTGATTTCATTAGTTTTCAATGTATTCATTGATCGTCCATCTATCTACATCAAACACAAGCATATGCATTGGTTTGTCAGAATGTTGTTCTGAATCTCACTGTTGATAATCTTTTCTTCAATTATTATCCACGATTAGCAAAATCGAAAAAACATCTTCGATACTGAAGGATTCAAATGTTTTTGAATTGTGTCTATTACGATCGTTAAATTGTAGCCCAGAAAGAGTGGAATAGGACCAACTGAAGTGCTGGTAAACTGATTCATTGCATAAATTACCAATCATGTTGGTTCATTAATTACCATTCAGTTGTTTAATTGGTTGAATATTTTTGCATGTTTCATTCGAATATGGTCAAGAAATGGAAGAATAAGAAAGAAAGAGACGATTAAATGAACGAAAAACAAAAGAAAAGCGAATAGATAAATGGATGACGCATAAATGAGCGGTAGCATTAGGCGATATATATGCGATATGCATTCATAGTCGACGATAAAGGAGGAAGAAGTTCTGTAATTTGAATGTGTTGTGGTGATAGTGGTAGTGGTCTTTTAGCAAACAGAGAAACGGATTAGTGCTTACATATTTCTCCGGTTGGCTAGAGGCTAAGTGGATGAAAGATCTATGCATGATATTGAGGAGAGGTTTCTAGATAAGCTTAAAAGTTCCTATCGTTGAAGCATAAGTCTGAGCCTGCTTCAAGCTTGGTTCCATTCATATCGTTGTCAATAGACGAGCGAGAGATCGTAAATTGAACGAAACTAACACTTTCAAAATCCGAAAATTTTTAAAGCTCAAAGTTGCAATTCCCATGAGGCTAACAACCAAACAATTTATATATGCGCATCATCGACATATTCCGAAAACAAGAATACAACTATGAGCATGAGCCTTGATATGTCACGTTACGATATGTCTTTGCGTTCATTGAACAAATTTTTTAATGCTGTTTTTCCTTATTTTGGTCTCATTATTTCTTCTACATTCTCTACTGAACTAAGTAAGTGTGAAGCCTAGGAAAATTCATAAACGTTTGAGCGTATGAATAAATGTATTTAGTTTTACAAACTTTCCAAGATCTTCTAAATAATTCATATGCTCATTCAACGCAGATCCTATCACAAGTATCCATCCACCCATCCAGTCACACATCTATCCATCAAGCTACCAATCAATCAACCCCATTGACGAATGAAATCTTGACTCTCCTTCATGTTCATATCAGATCCATCCGGATTATCCAGTTCCAGTAAACAACAGGTAGCCTAATCACATAAAATCCCCTTAGGGGTTTTCACCGTGGTTGCTCAAGCACTCATTAAACTGTTGATCGACGAATAATGTCTATCGTAAGCTCTAAGCTGTAAACTAAATGACTGTTCTTAATGAGCACATGCAACCACCCACCATCTATCTCAAAACGGATCAGCACGTCCAATAAATAAATGAACATTTATTCCATTTAATTGGTGTCATCATTAATCACTAAGACTGAGCATTCAGTAACGGAGTAATTGTCATGCTCCTCTCTACAGGCACACAAACATATACTCCAAATATGAAATCTTCATCACTAACCGATCGATAATAACAGGATCTGATGGTGTTTCATTTCGATTTCCACAACTCTTCTTTTCACAGCAACGACTGAAATTTACAATCGAATATTTAACATCATTTATTTGAATCAATTAAGCAATCAGTTGGCTAATCGTATGACATTTCAATGCTCTGCAAATGGATTCCAACTGAAATTTTGACACTAACAGCAGGTTTCATAAACTGATTATAATCACTCCGTTCATTACTGTACAAAATTGCATAAATTTGAGCAAGGATTGATAGCAATAATGATGTTAAATACCAACTTTAAATACCAATCTTAAATACTAGTATCAACTTTTTAATAATTTCGGAGCATCAGCGAGTTATTTTTTAAAAGAATAATCAAATAACGAACACACTGAAATTAGAGCGTTTTTTAAAGCTGTTTGCTGAAATTATTTTTTAATGTCAAGAAACCAGAGTTTAACAGCGTAAATTTCTATCAGTTCATTAGTTGATCTCACTTACCTACACATCACTTCATGTGTTAGTAGAACTCGACACATCTCTGGATTTTTATCTTGTCCTTCATAAGCGATCGCCTGTAATTCAATTGTTATCACCATCCTCATCATTATTATTAGTTTATTCTTCTTCTATACATCTTGTGAGCGTCACTTGACTTTACAGTAATTGTATTTTTGAAGTTGTTTCTTTTATACACACCGATAACTAATATCTATTTATCGTTTGGTTCAAACTCAGTATCATTGAAATAGAAAAGATATAAAAAATTTATACGAATGTGTATTGTACATCTAAAATATTAACTAACAGAAAGGAATGCTCAGTGAAGAAGATGTATTGAATCTAAAAGAAACAACGAAATGAAAAGATGATGAGTGTGATATGATAATTACTCTGTCAAGTTGCATAAATTCATCTCTAGTAATAAGGCAATAGCTGTGATTTTTACGCGCAATCGGTGATAATCACACATAGGGGATGTAATGAGAGGAATTTGTGCGATAACATATGAGAGAAATGAGATGAAAAGAGAAAAAGATTGAATAGAGCAGTGGTCCCCACTCTCAGGTGCTCTATTACCCTCTTCGATGGTCTGACAGGACGTCATTAACCCCTCTTCTGCTACAATAACATTATTTTCACACATATAACATCAGAACTAGTTTCCCGAATCCCTCCATTACCCCCAAATTACCCAAAAATGGGTAATTTCGCTCCCCCCTCATGGGGACCCATGGAAAAGAGGGTAAATATCTATCTATCTGCAGCGGATATTCTATGCACGTACTTGTGTTAATAAACGCATGCAAGTGTACATTTTTGAGCATGATACACTATGTATAATAGCGACTATAATCACAATGGTAATGATGATGATGCAAGAGAAGAAAATATTTTCATAACCACCTGTTAACATTTGTTTTTAAATATCGCATATTAAAGAAATTTGAATTGAGGACAATTAATTTGGAATGAGGAATACCAACAACGATAAACGCAAAAAGCAATAAAACCAACAAAAATCAAGAAATATAAACAAAAGTAATACTGAGCACGAAGTTGATTATAACTGTTGACGATAACAATAATAATAACAGTAATAATAATAGTAATATTAATAGTAATAATAGCAACAATAGTAATAATAACAACAATACTAATAATAGTAATGGTTCAATCGAATGAACCCTCAATTCAGAATCAAAGGAAGCCGTTCAAAAAGACGAAAATACGTGGCTTGTGTGGAAGGAACGCGTGAGCAGATCTGCACTTATTTTAAAAGACGACTGTTATCGTAGCGCCAGAACTGAATGCTTGCTTTTGCGAATGAAGTATTTGTGAACTTGGGAAATATTCTATTTTTGATAGACGAACAAGGAATGAAATAAATTGAAGAATAATCGCACCTGCTTCGAGACACTATCGATGAGGCGAACGTAGAGATCTTGTTCTGATCGAAGACCTGAAATTGACAACTATCACTCATCGAATGATGAATCTGAAATGCGTTTCGAAATACTTCATCCAGGTCGTGACTCTGATGACTGGAGTAAGATAAAACAAAATATTCTAAAATTTTTAAAGGAGAGATCAGAGCGGAAAAGCGAAAGATAATTTAATGGACGATCGATCGTATGCTACTGAAAAAGCGCTTCTGATTATTCCAAGACCTTTGAAAGCTACATCAATGCATTGAGAATATGAATCCTTTCATATTATATTGACATTCTATCGTATACAATAAAACAACTATGCCTTAACTAAATTGACCACAATTTTAGAGCAATACTTAATAAACTTCTTAAACACTGCACGTTAGAATCAACGAGTATCACGCATTTATGATTAGGCTAATGCACATCGACGATGTAATATCAAGAAACATTGCAGCGTTCCTTTCCTCATTGAATAGTTTCGTTGTTTTAGTTGATAACATCGAATGACGTAGAAGAATATCTTCCATAAACGAAAATGGGTAGTGAATGGGTTACTGTATTTGCAGAACTTTAAAAATTTTGCAATAAAACGACGGAAAACGAATTAAATCGGAAAAAGTTTAATTGAATAGAATGAATGAAATTTTGAGCCACACGATGAATAAAAATAAATATTGGATGAAATAACTGTAATCAAATGATCGGCACCCACACACACATAAGGAGAACTCTAAACTTTCAAGAGTCACACAACTATTGCTCAACTTTACAATCAGTCAACAGCAAAGGCATGATCAGCATTTCAAGACGGTTTTATGAAACGTTTTCGGAGGAAAGAATGACAAATGAAAAAACAAATTGATTTGGAAGATACCGTTAGCGAACGCAAGCCATAGTCTGTAGTGGATACCATTGCGGGTATCTTGACCGTCCACTTCGCGTTCCTTTTCCACAAAATCCGCGAATTGAGTTCGTTCAATTTCGACCGGTTGCCCGGCTCGATCATACAATGCGATAACGAAATGGAAAAAATTACTCTTTCGTAGATTATTCGGTGGATGCTTCTCGAAATGCGCTCGAGCCAATTGAGCACTGAATACGAAATTAACTTCAGAAAAAGAAATCAATCATCAAATTTCATTCAACTTAAGATGAGTAAATAACCAGTAGATAAAAAATAAATAAACAACGGGATCTGAAGAAAATCGTTCTATTTATAGATCGAAGACAACGATCAGTGATAAGTAGTAACGTAATGATTGTAATAAAAACAGTGAAAGTTTCTTCTTTTCGGCTTCTAAATTCCATGTCGATGAATAATAATAATAATATCTAGTAAATAGCTAGTAAAACGTCTACTGCTTATAGCCGGCTGGAAAAGGCACTGAACTGATGCACTAATCCTTCATCATATCAATGTTACATTCTCACTACTCCGAAAATTGCTTTCTATCGTTCTCTCACTGGATATGTAACAGAGGCCAATAAATTATTCAAAGGTATGGGAATTGGGCAGAATGAATGGTTCATTGACCGTCGTACACCACCTTCATCATCATAATGATGAAACAAAATTATCAATCTCATTTCATTCATTTACTATAACCATATCATATCTGTTTATATACGACAAGGAATATACCAGTCCTAAGTTCGGATAACAACAACAACGGATCTAATCATTCACAAGACTCTGATCAGTCAGCATAAGTGAACAAACTGATAAGTGAATCAAGTTAAAAGGTTTCAAGGAAAGGATGAATATGAACTGGATCGGTGCAATACGCTGCTATCTACCTGAAAAGGGCAAAAAAATGGATTTGAGAATGACCGTGCTCAAATTTTGGACGGGGCATAAGATAAGTGTCCGAGAGTGAAGAGTGAGATGATATTGGATTAGCGAATGATTAACTGACTGACTGAAGCTGGTTTTTAGCAGAGGTTTTGTTTTGGGACTATCAGATAGGGAGAAGAGTTATTTGGTAGCTAATACGGTTTGTGTAGCTTGAAAGAAGTGCGCGTAAAAGATGATAGCTTGTGAAATGGTGGAAAGGGGAATTAAAATGGGTGTTTGCGGCGACATAGTCCCTTCACAGGGACGTTGGGACGTTGGGACCAGGAATGGCATTCAAGTGAATGAGATGAGATGAGAATTGGTAAAAATAAATACTAGTTCAAGTAATCGTTTCGTTGAAATAATCGTTTCAGTCGAGCAATTAATTGAGACCAACCTGGCTGGTGAGGTGTCAACAACAGTCGGTGCCCAATGTGCTCTTAAGCCAAGGGGTTCCTCCTTCATTTGTCTAAGGAGAGTTGTGTCCTGGAAGCCGAACATCTTCATAAAACAGTAAAATGTGTTGTGGTTGTTCGTGATATTGTATTGATATGAATTGGATATACAGATGGATCGCAGTAGATAGATCGCTTGATGGATGGATATTCGAAGAGAAGTAAAAACTTGAACGGCTTCTTCGTCTTTCTTGCTATTATTCTTCTTCCTTCGTTGTATTCTTCATCAATTCAATCAACCCTCTTCTCAGTTTCACTAACTATAAACATACCAACCACGCCCCTCGGGATCACAACTTCATTAGGACGTCCGCATCTGCTTATCCATCACTTGGGAAATCAACTCGCATCCATTCTTTAGCAATTTTCTCATTCGCTCCACCCACAAATTTCTCGAACCAATCAACGAACGCTTGGGTGGAGTAAAATGACTAATATTCAAATTACGGTAGTGTTTCTTTCAGTACGAAACAAATTTCCATGAACGTTGCTCGGCTTGCGTTACTTCTAGTTAATGAGTGGAATATGGATGGAATGTATTCAGCAACTACGTCTGCAAACGACAATTAACGATGCACATTCGCATTACGCAGTTGGCTGTATCACTTGACGGTGTACCTTACCACTATTGATCAGCTGATGTCGGCGTTTGTTCGTAAAACGTCACAATCAATTCTCGAAACACCATGGTCTGCTGAAGTGCACATTTAATGAGGTGCATCCTCAGACTCATTTTCAACTTATGCCAAACTATTCAAATACAAGCAATCTTACTCTTCATTTCATCCGGCACAAGCTTCACATTTTCATTATCTGCTTTTCGTCCCTTACCTCCATGATTATTCTTGTTTCTGTCGTCAGTTCAATGCATATGGTGAAGTGTCGGTATGCATGATTGCTGGATGATAAGCTGGTTTAATTTGATTGGCTTATTAGTCTTAGGCATGACCGATTTGATTCAAAATGAAGAAAGCAGTAGGGTACTAGTATCGAGCCAAAAGTATAAAGTATACGTCCCATGGCTTTGTTTATTTGCAAAAGCATTCTTAATCAGTTAAGCGGCTGATATGTTTGACAGCCCACAAACAAATCTCTTAATACATTTACATAAACCAGTATAAATTCTAGAGACTGATTCTTCATCTACAACAGTACTAATTCAACAACAGAACTGCTCTGCTGATCGTTCTGAATGCCTCTCCTCTCACTGTTATTAAAATAGGAGAATGAGAATTTTGAAATGCGAAAGTCATTTTCATTTCATCAAGGGAACTGCTCCCTTGGTTGATTCAAATTATTCGGAGTTGATGTCGATGAGATTTGAAATTATCGAATGGATGAGAAGTAACCAACTAGTTTAACGAAGAAATGAAAGAATATTTTCGATAGGATATGGATGAATTGAAGTGAATTTGGTTTCAACATAACGTATAGCTGATCAAAAGTGAACGAATGAATACGTGTGGAATATCCCACTCGTGTGATTTTATGACGCCTATATCGTCACTGATTTACGCTTGATGTAACGATCTGTCATATTACTTCATATTTTATCATAATCAAATTTGCGGCTTCAAGACTAACAATAACAATTTGAAATGGTGATACCTTCACAAAAAAAGAAAGTCATGCCTATACCAATCATGAGAATTACTAAAAATACAAAGTGAAAGCGCACACTATCAGTAAATGATGGAAGAAATAGTTTATTGATGGAAGGAAAAGAAAAAATAAAACAAGAAATAGTTTATTATCACAGTTCTTCAACAAAACAAATCAATAACAATCAACTTGTAATTTTGAAAACATCAAAAATGGAAAATATCATTATCATTCAATTCTTGTATCAGATCGTTATTGTTTATTCATCAAAATTTTATCTGTTAGATTCCTATGAATGGCTTCGTTTCGTTGACATTCCTAAAAAGAAACAAAAATTACTTTCAACATTCATCTATGAACGCAAATATTACATACGCATACATACCCGATTTGAAATAATACCTATGTAATCATTCAGCTAACTGATAAAATTTTTGCTTTACAAGCAACAGAATTTTCAAAATTTCTCGTCCAAAAAGAAAATTCTTACAACGGCAAAACCGATAGTTGAATTCAGCTCAGATTTATTATTGTACATTAAGGGAAGGAAGGTATGGGAATGGGCATTATTAATGATTCATTGTATGGTGAATTTTTCATTATTAATCGAAGACTGTGATTGATCGAACAGAATGGTGATACGATTGAAAGTGATGAAATTTCGCAGATTACTTTTTTGAAATCATCGATCGTCTTATGATAGAGACGTTCCTTGTCCAACAAATACTGATAATCATCACTCAACTGTTCACGCTCACTTCGTAACTGTTTTTGCTTTGAAGATACCTTAATTATATATCACTAATCAGAAACTGCAACCTGCTACAAACAATTCACATGCTCTGTAGTTTTTGCTCATCACTTCAAAGTTTCACTCTTAACTCCAATCGATTTCAACAATATAAAAACATATATGGAATAAAGCAAGATAATGCAACAAAATATGAGACCAACTTTATCCAAAGTGGCATCTACACCTTTGAGCACATGCTCCAAATTTTCAATGAACGATTCCTTATAGCTTTCCTTTGAAGTACTGAAACCAACACCATATTTTCACAAACTATTTCACCAAGAGCAAAAACAAATACGTAATGGAATTAACTTCGTGAACTTGCTAAACTGAGCATTTTCTGAGACAAAAGTCTTAAAATATAGGGAGAATAAAATGATAAAAATGAAAACTATTGGAAAAACTGAAAAAAAAGTTTCAAAATAATACAAATGAACATACAGCTGCTGCACATCCTCAATGCTATTCAGTAGATCAATTTCACGTTGCAAATACGCTTTAACGTCTAATAAAGTGTTGTGCTCAGTGTAGAATTGTTTGGTTTCACGATGCTTCGAAGCCACTGAAAATTCATTATGAATGATCCGAAAAAGCTTATCTTTTCGAACCGTTTCCAGTTCAAACCTGGTAGCAACGCTTACTCGAGTGGATTCATGCTGATGTTCGTTAAGGCGGATCACTGAGTTAAGCATCAACGTATGAACGGATAGCAGATATAATAGACAGATGAAAAATATGTTAACAAATTAACAAACTTTGATTATAGAGTTCAATGATTCGCCGCTGATACTGACTGATTTCAATTTGGGATGGAACCGAATCGAGACGACGTTGCTGCACGGCTATTGAGCGATTGATGGAAGCTGCTTGAAGACGCATCCTCTCCAAGTGTTCCTTTGCCTCTTCGTATTCCTGATGAGATTCCAACAGCTCGCACGAACGACGTTCATTGCCGCGACTTTCAACGATCTTTTCTAATTGTTGTTGCATTCGCAGCAATTCGCGTTTGCAATTCGTTTTGAATGTTGACTCACGATTACGCAGCTCGTCGTGTTCAGCCATCAGTTGTGTCAGTCGATCAACCAGCCTGTAAATCAATAGCGAAACAAACACATGAATTTTAAATGGATATATGTTGACGAACTCTTTATCGACGGACTGTTCAAATTCAAGATGTGCTTGAATTTTATGCTCTAACTCGCGAATTTCTTCGAGCAGATTCGTTTCCACCTCAGTGGCCGTGAATAGTTCGTCATCCAATCGTTTCTCATCTTCATGTAACTAAAAAGAAACAAAATCACAAATAGTTTATCGACCGAACGTTCCAATGACTTTTTGATTGACGGATCATTTGATATCAAAATGGGCTGAGAAAAGAGGAATCATTCACAATATTATCGATTATATTTTGACTCATACAATATCTATGGATCGAAAACATTCTCAAACAAAGGAACAAATAAGCAAAAGTTACGGTTGAGTTTGAACCCATTGCTTACCCGCTCTAGTTCTTGTTCGGCTTCATCAAGCATTACACGTGTCCTCATAATACCCAACTCATCACCTTCAATGCCTTTGTGACTTTCATGTATCACCTAAAATTATCAGCAATGATAAACAATAATAACAACAATCAATAATATTATTTACCGTATCGATACCCGCCGAAGCCTCGTCAATTGCTTTCACGTCAATAATATTCGCTAATGCACCAATCGAGATTCGTTCTGCATCTGAACAAACTGGTATTATTGACGTTGTTTGCAGTACACCTTCATCTTCCCTTCCAACATCTCGTTTGCACGCCATCTACAAACAACAATCATTATAATTCCGCGTTTTTTCGTCTGTTTGCAACTGTAATGCAAATTTATGAACACAATAATAATGAAAATATAAGAATAAGTTACTTAAATTCACTGTGAATAAATGCATCTGTGAAGGAAAGCTTAACTGCGCTATTGAGACAAATCATATCATATCATATCTGAACATAGATAGTAAGGAGCATTAAATGCTAAATTTTCGAATGTACCTCGGTTTGTTTTGAACCACCCGTTTCAGCATAGATTCTATCTGTTTTTCGTCCTTCTTGCTGTCCTTTTCGTTCGCTGTCTTTGTTCTCCTCTTTGCAGGATTTTCGTTTCTGACTCGACGATGGTACAGTTGTGAGTGAGTATGGTTGTCTTCAATTATACAACTATAAGACATCGTAAACTATGTATAACACAACGATTCTAAGATCATCTAGATAAGGTGGTCGTTGCCAACAGTTTCGATTAGCATAAATGAGAATTGGTAACGGTGATGAAAAGAAACCATTTGAAAGATTAACACTGATCACAATTAACAACATTCTGAATGCCTGACAGATGGATTCGGCGTTCAAGAAGTCAACAGCATAAAATTAATGAAAACCCACCGTGTTGCCGTATATTCCATGATTGTTGCTTCGACATCTTTATGTAAATCACATTCGTTTGCCGCACTTGAACAATAACCATTTGTACGTCTATAAACACGTAACGGTGAGCACTGTGCTTTCAGGTTTGCTCGATGCTTTGTAAAAACCACTTCATCTTCACATTTTTCTCCTTCTTCCTTAAACAAACAAAAAATTGAATGTGCAAAGAAATGTGAACATCGAAACATAACTTCGCATACAACAAAGATCATAATTCTACTTGGGAAATAAATGAATAAATCGATGCATACTGGTAAAAGTCGACGAAAACGTGTAGCAAACTGATGAATGGCATAATTTTGCAAGGTATCACCACGTCTAGATTTTGCTTCAATTGCTTGCTTCACTAACCACTGAAAAGAAAGAACTATCATTATCAGTACTATCAACATCTGCAGTTTTATCTTTTTTACGAAAACATTTCGATTATAATATCTATTACCTTCAGATCAAAATAAGAACACTATCACCATTATGTGTGCATAATTTAAATTTCGCAAAAATTCATGGAAAGTGACCTGAACCACTGGAAATATATGTATGTAATCGAGTCCTTGTATTTGATGTGGTTCGATTGAATAAGGACATTTCAGTTGTGGCAATACTTCGACTACACGTTCGGTTAAGGCGCTTTAAGTTATTATCATTGCTTTTATTATTGTCGGAGTTTAATTTAATGATCAGAGACCAATGTTAGTTATAATCAGTCGACGAGTGAGGTCAATTTCAGTTCTAAGAATACTACAGTGTTGAAGCAGTGATCCAAAAGTATCGATCAAATTCTTTCACTAAAATCGATAGGGATACAAAATTGAAATAAATATGAGCTCAGACCAACATTTTTTGACCGATCGTTGAATTTTCTGAGTAGAACAAATCCACATCAACAGATCGATTGCACAGCGTTATGCACCAAACCATTCCTCCGATTACCTAAACAACGCAACAAATGAAAAGATCTCAAGATCTGCACCAAAATAAAAATACAAAATCGCTTCCAAATTACAATCTTCCTGCTAAACAAAATTAGCAACAACAAATAAGATGATCTGAGAACGTTCTGAGCCACCATAAAAACATTCAACAAATTCTAAACGTTCGAGAAAATAATCCTCGAATTCGTTAGAAATTAACTCTCGGTTTCATGGGGCGAAAGGGACAGGAAATAATTGGAGTGGTTTAAGATTTGAAAGTTACCCTATCGAAAGGTGATAACGCCTTGAAACGAGCCCTGAAATATCCGGCAGCCACAAGCAAATCAATGGTATCCTGCAGCTTAACGAATTGCTCTTCATCCTCACGAACATCGAACTTAAATGCAAATATAATCCAAAATTGGGGTGGAAAATAGAAAATGTCGGATTGATTCCAGTGGACATTTCATTAATATTATCAATAAAGATTCAAAAAGCTATAAGCACGTAAAAACGAATGAATTTTATGGATAAATAAGCGTTTTCACAAATAAATAAACAGAAGCAAATCAATTTCACCTCATTCTTTGAAATATTTCGATGTGACGATGAAGTCATATAGCTCAAAATTCACTCCACAAATATGATTCCGATGCAACAATGGATTGAATTCCTCCAACTTTTTGTTCAAAATGTATCCTTAAACGAAATTTCATACGCGTTTAAACTACATTAACCAATATCAAGCTACAAGCATCAATGATCACCATACAACAATTGAATTCAAAATGAAGATTTCTAAAGCGAAAGCGAATCATTGAAGAGCAACAGTCGACACTCACGGATTTGATAAGAATGAAAATGTCTGAAGACGTATCACAACATATTGAAAGCCGAAGTACTAGACCGTCTGGTTGAAAAATGGTGACAGTTTTGTGATGATAATAACACTGAGGATATTAAGATGAGATTAGGATTGAGTCTATGAGTTTAAAGTAGTTTAACCTGGGTGTTTTTATAGTCGTTGCATTCGAGAAACATTACACTCGAGTTCTGGCATTCTGATGTTTTGCATTAAACTGAACAGATTCTGATGTAGCCTGAATCACTTCCGTACATTAGAGTGCTTCTGGTTCATCGAGATACCCAGTAATAATGGATAAGGGATTACGGATGCATTAAATGGAATCAGAGTGTATGCTACAGCAAAACTCTTCAGTCGGTCTGCAGAGTCAAATGAATCCTCGCGTGCGGTTTGTGTTCAACGTTCGCTACTAAGATCGAGACCACCCACACATGACTTCTATATATTAGTTTCACTCAAAAATTTAGACTAAGTGATTATGTGTGGTATCTTAATAGAGTAGGGTCTCTCAACGGGGGTGCTCGCACCCCCAAACGGTTCAAGGTGGTATTCCAGGGGGTTTTATTTTTTATGTAATAAAGTATGTGAGGGAGAATTTCAAAGTAAAGCAGGCGAAGGTGGACTTTAAGGTATATATTTTTGAAAAGGTTAGAACTTACTCTACAGGTATAAATTACTGACACACACTCTAATAGATGAGAGACAATGAGCGATATTGTAAGGGGTGTGAAGACATTTTAACTATGGTTTTAGGGGGTGTGAGGACATCTTAAAATTTTCTCGAGGATGCGGAGGGAAGAAAGGTTGAGAATCACTTAATACAGTATAAAATGAATAAAACATAAACCATTGATCGCCACGACACAAAAAGAAGAAATGAAATAATTAATCCTATAAACAGAAGAATAATTAATGAATAATTTATCAATATAATCAAAATAAAGGCAACAATAAGGATTATGTTTTGAGCACTTTTTTGTGCATGAATATCGAGGTGAGACGAAAAATTAATAGATAAATAGATATTTTACTATTCCTCAACACCATCGCTTATTGTTTGTATAACATTTTAACTCTATACGTAATCCTTTGAATGTTTCATCCCACCACCTACATTTGGTTTCTTCGTTTGTATGCTTCATTCATTACCACTGTTAGTGTAATAAGATACAAGCCAAATCATAGCCTGGCTCAGGCTCGACAACAACAGTGATATTGGTGCACCACTCGGTATCGAGCAGAACTTCCCCTCACGAACGAGAATCGAACCGGCGATGTACCAATTATCGGTTGGGGCTCTGCCTCTGAGATGTTAGTGAGTTTGCATGATAATAGTCATTATTTATTTTTTGTCCTAATTCGGCACTCGTGCGCAGAAGAAACTGCTCAAAGCATGACCCTTATTTTACCGCTCTAACATTATTGATGTTACTGTTATTCATTTACGCATACCTTTGATCGTTTATCTTTGTATCTGTAAAAACCTTGCTCGATATCTCTGAGAATTGAATCACACTGGATGCTTCTCCGTATGTATCATCAACTTATCAATAATCAAAAAATGCCAATTATAAATAAGCCAGTTGGCTGCACTGTACGTTAAACCATTCAAAAATAGTTTCATTTAAAAATATTTTCACCGAAACAATGTCAAAAGCAACAAAAATATTATCTGTAACTGTGAACTTATTATCAACAACGCCTCTAATCTATTTGAGAATTCTCTTGAGCCTCCTACTATCTACTGTCGGCCAATAATTTTGCTGTTTTTGTGAATACCATAGCATTAATGAAGTGCTTCATATCTCATTGTTGTCATCGTCACTGTTCACTACATGAAATGGATAAATTAGGAGATGCAAGATACAGCCTGAGGGTATGGATAAAGACAATTTTATGAACGGCTTAACGAATGACTCACGTCAAATGTCGTCTTATCATTACTATATTAATGTTATTCTCATTAGCATAATTATTATTAGTATTCTTATTATTACATTATCACCGTTTATATTTTCAGTATATCACCGCTATTTAGTAACGGTTCTTGTTGACACAAGAAATATGCATGTAAGTGGTGAGATGAAATGAAATGGATCGGATATAGAATGGATATAAGAGATGAGCAGAGATAAAATTGAACTCGAATTTGAATTCATGTCTATTTCATGTTTAAAACATACATATTTTCATCAATTTATTAAATGCTATGTGTATGTTTCTGTTTCATTTCATCCATTCATTTTATTGTGATGATCTCTTAGAAGATATTATGACGGATTCAACGTCGCGTTACTTGTTTTATTAACCAGATGATTTAAGAGTCAATTTGTTGTTTCACCACAACCAAACAGTAGCAGTTGCAGCAACGTTCAGTTCAGCGAATCACTACGTTCGCTCATCTCGAATGTCATTTACATGAAGGCTCTTCGATTATTTATGTCCATTTGGATAAATGTATTTTCTTCTCAATTCATACAGTCGCTTATTTATCACCGTCACTATTCATTACCATGTTATCTAGTATTATTACAATTAGCAGTACTATTATAATTAAACGCATGACGAATGTTATCGTGTCTGATTATCGTTATCGCCTTTATTACTTTATTTATAAAGATGTTGTATTGGTAATGAGCTGTATTGGTAAATAAGTAAACAAATATGATATTGACGATTTCATTCGAAATATTAATGCAAAAAGATGTATTTTCAGTGCAGATTACTGACTTGCAAATGAGACAAATGAGATATACATTTATAAATAGCGATTTCAGAATAAGGATACACGTTTGAACAAAAATATGACGGTGGCTCTAAATAGCGCACTTTCAAAAACAGCCTTTCCTTTCAATACACCTGCCGTGACGGTCATTTATGATTTATCATCATCATCATCTGCAGAATACTGCTCACCTTTAATGTTTATAAATGTAAGTTACTATTATTCATGTTGATATAACTTATTACAATGATCGTTAATATTCCAAGTATTACTAGGGCTTACAACATCAATTTATTGTGCACAACGACGAGGTCTAAATGACTGCATATGAATACAGTTGATCAAGTAAGAGCGTTTCATATGAATTCAATAAGTATGATGTCGTTGCATTTATTCGTTGGAACATTCACATCGCAATCACATTCACATCATTAATTATCCGTTTCAGTGATTTTCGAAATATAAAAAACCAGATTTCATTAATTTACTATTCATTATTATTATCACTATTAATTGATAATGATAGTGATGACAGCGACAATGATAGTTATTCATCTCCAACTCTCTTTATCCAAAATTCGTGCCATTTATTTGCTTATATCTTTTGTTCCAATCCACACTGATACTCCTTTCTATTTACATCTCTATTTCTCATTCACATCTCTATCCTCATCATCCAACATGGTCACTGCTTGGGAAGATGGATTATCTTCGTTGAAATTTTAATCTTTTGATCTTTCCTTATCTTCCTATCAATTTTATTCGAGTGATGAGTTGTGAAATGCTATTTTCTAGCATATCATAGATGTATTTGTTCATTTATTCGTTTTTCATGTAGAATATCTATGTTACTTACATGAAGTATTAATTATTGCGAATCAATAAAAAATGATTGAACATTAATTAGATAATGTGTTCTGATTATTTGATATGACGAAGAAAGATGAGGAAATGAGACGAGAAAAATAAGATCAGATGCGAAAGAGCAATAAAAACGCCCATCTGCAACACGTTGCTCTATCGTGAATGTTTTTTGTTTTGCACCGGAATTTATTTCGTGTTCTAGAACGATATTGAAACAACTCGTTTTTGTTTTTATATGCAACATACGAACCTGAATATCTATTTGAAATCCTCCTCTGACTGTTATCCTTTGAACTAGCTTAATCCTATAATCCCAAATATATACCCAATCTCAACTTTATACTCGCCCTCAAACGTTCCTGCCGTCTCTCACCGATTTCCAAGCTGCACATTTCCATTTCCTCCCCTTAATGAAGCCCAAACCCGGATTCTCTCATCCTCGTCGGTCTCCAAGTTGCAAGCATCTCAAGATTTATAATCGCGGTTATATGATATATATCTATCCGAGATATATTCATGCTTATACGGTATACATGTAACTATATAAAATTAAGCTCAACACTGTATAGAGCCAAATCTAGAATAAATCACAAAATTGATATTACGTTTCATTATTTCTATAAACACTGTCATTCGAGGGCTTCGATGGATCCGCGTACCAGAGTAATTGTGCAAATGATGGCTCAACTAATGCCACTGCAGTCAGATCACCAAAATCGCCCACGATCGGAACGAGTATCGTGCAGACCACATATGAAACACAATCTTCCGTAAAATCACCACCGTACAAACACTCATCTCAAGAAGTACACAGTTCCTCTTTTCTACCTTATAGCATCAGCAGCAGCAACAACAACAACAATAACAACCTACCAATCGTGTTTCAAAATATCACTACTGCCGAGCAATTAACAAATCAAACTTTTTCCTCAGCAGCATTATCACCAGTATCAAATCAGCAAAATACGTTTTATTCTTCTCCATTCGGCAGCAATCTACCAACTGCATTGCCAGTTGATAACAATTTGCAAAATTCATCATGTTTGTTTCTTTAAAATGTCATCATATGCATCAGATGTGCTACTTTATTTTTTTACTTCAATGTTCATATTTTATTACTGTTACTGTTATTTTGTTATTATTAATATTTTTTTGCTTGTTATTATCAACAGTGTTATTATTGGTAGTATTGCTTTTCATTTTAGCGAAGAACAAACTTGGTCGTGCTTACAACCCTGGCCGTCCTTTAGCAATGGCCGATAGGCGAAGGATTCTCGAGTTATATGAAAAAGGTCATAAAATTAGTCATATCGCAAGAATTATTGGTGTTACGCATAGTTGTGTCTCCAAGATAATGACGAGGTATGTGTGTGTTCTCCATTCAGTCGTATTGTTATCGTTAATGCTTAGAATGGCTGTTATTATTTTTTTTAAATGCTTATTGCAACTTTTGTTATTGTTATTCGGAAATGCTAAAAATATGTTTATTATCAATACACATATAGATATAGACGTACCGGCTCGATGTATCCGCGAACCACATGCAATACACGACTTAGAACTATTGAAATAATTAGCAATGAAGGCATTAATGATAATTTCGCTGACAAAATGGAATTGGTAACATCCGAAGGTTATAATGGCAATGAAACAGTAACAACCGCAGCAACTGTTATTCAAAACAATAATCATAATGATACTGATAATATGCATAAGAATTCGACAACTGGTGTTATTATACATCGACCATTTGCTATTAAATCATATTCAATCCAAAGGTTTGTTTGTGTTGACAATCATATAAGCGTCCTTCCCTATTAATTCCAGCTGTAAAATTTTCAACAATGGGTGAAGAACGAAAAATTAACGTTTCAAAAGTGATTTGTTCTAAGAAATGAGCATTTCACATTAGTACTTTCATCTACTATGTCTAATGAATTAAATACTTAATGTCTTTTCATTTATTGGTGTTTTTTTTTTTGTTTGAAATAATCATTCATTTAAGAACGATGATTTGATGAATTCAACAAACTAGTATTGGTTCAACCGAACGTTATTTGTTGTATACTTTCAGTCTTCTCTATAATATTTAATAAGCGACTGAAGATGATTTGGGTCATCGTGAATATTTTATAATAAACGTTATAACTGATCATTAGAAGTCTCCCACATTTGAACTTCTGTGATACCGAATCGAGCATTTTGGCTGTAAATATATGATGGAACTGATTGATTCGCTCCTTTTTAATTGTTATTACCATCAGAATAATGTTACTTTTTCCATATTATTATTTTATCATTGATATTGTTGCATTAAATTTTATTATTTCAATAACTGCTACCAGTGTGAATAAATTCTTTTCTTAGCAGTCTTTGTTGATTCACTCATTGAATTTTTCTGAGAGCGTTTCATCTTCGTTTCTATTTCTGTTATCCTCCCTTGGGTTGAATTCAAAGAAATACACGATCTTTTTCGAAGATATTGGTTTCTTAAAAATTTTGTATGGAAGCATCTTGAACAGAATGCTATGGCTCACGGTTGTTGGTTTGATTCGTCCGCCCTATACCATCTAAAATGCTGGCCTGCCTGCGCTCTGGCTTGCCATAAAAACGAAATGCTATCAATGCTCTTCATTAACATTGTGAGTTGTGTTCGAATAACGAGAATGCTTCAGCACATAAAAGTCGATTTTATCCACTAATATCTCGAAATACCAGTGGTGCATCTCAACATGCGTGCTAGTATGTCAATATGTGTACATATCGAAGTGTACAAAAAGCTGAAACGGAATTATTCTCCTGCTAGTATATTACTGTATTATCTAACGGAGGGTGCCTCAGAGATGATTGAAAATATGGAATCAGGCGTGGTTCATTGACTGACGTAAGAGTAGACTATGGTATAGCGGAATGATTAACAAAAAATAATCTGATTATCGGATAATCTGATTTTTGTTAAATACGTTAGCAAAAATCAGATTGTCCGTCATATGAAGAATAAAAATTTATCGGATTCTGTTTTCAGTTAGCAAGTGACGAGAAAGTTTTCTGAGGAGTCATGCCATCGAAGTATGTAATGTCACGAAACGAAGATGAATTCGCACGAATCTGCAAATTTCGCGATAGGGAATAGCGATGGCGCTCTGCTACCTATTCGGAGGGTAATAGCGGTAGCGATAGCGGAATAGCGGACTTCTTTTCGATAGCGGAATAGCGATAGCGCGCTATCGTTCTTCGATAGCGCGCCCAACACTGTCTGTACTTCACTTCATGTTCGGCATTGTCATCATTCCTGTCGTCGTCTCCAGCTGGCTACGCCATTGTCGATGCGCAGACCTCACTGATGCCGTTGTTGCTGCATCTCGGGGGAACACATCCAAATCGGTCGTCGTCCCGACATCACAAGAAGAAATCGCTGTATTGGTGCCGATACTTCTGGGCGATTCTGAAGAACAAGAACAAGAGGAAGAACAGCAAGCACAAGAAGATTTTTTTCTTCGGTCGAATCTTCTCCCTTCAACCTGAAATTGGGTACATTCTGCATTCGACTGCAACTTTTTCACTTTCACACCCCCAAACCCCTAAAAGTGCCTCCGTTTTTTTCAAATAAACAAGCTCATCTGATACAACTTTCCACGCCCTACAAGATGTGCATAACTTCTCCGGTCGAATCTTTTTCCTTCAACCTGAAATTGGGTACTATATAAATGTGACCTTCACTTTTGCCCAATATTTTCTACTTTCAGACCGCTCAAGCTTTTTTACAATGAAAATTTTTCAGAATAAGATACTTCATATGATATAAAATCTCATTCGCTACAAAATGGTTACAGTTTCTCAAATCATTCTGCAATTAATTACCCTCTAAAACGGTCCTTTTCTGATATACCATCGGCATACATTTTGCTCATTCAAACGCTCGATCACACATTGAACTACGTTTGCGCATGCTCCTCGCTGACTCCTCCCCTGCGCTTAGACGCGTTTTTATGGCGAAGTGCGACGACGCCTCTTGAACGCCAGTAATTTAAGGCGAACATGAATAACTTGGCATTATTTGCGTTGTGATATTCGACTGTTTCGCAATCTTGTGCGAATCACTGAGTTCCGTTCGTTTGTTAGTATGCAATTTTACAATTTTAAAATCTGATGTGTTTATCATTAGTTTCTTTTTCGTACTCTCTCTGTCCTTAATACAACTTTCGAATATAGATAATCGCATTCCGCTATCATCAGATCATGTACAACGGCATTGGACTACCCACAGCTCGTGGCTCGGGCACGAATGGTTATGTGCAAGCAAATCGAGCCAGTCTATTCCTGTCAAAAGTTAGTTTTTGGAAATATATCCACCTGGTTATTTGTTTAATTTTCATGCATATTTTGAACAAATTTTCATTGCTTGATTAATTTATTATTCATATTTCAGGTACGTGTCAAATACAATTCAGAAGCTGATATCAAACGTGCGGAGGCTGAATTAAATCGACCACCAAACGCTGAACTATTGGAACACATGAAGAAACGGCAAATTGAATTGAAATGTGCTGATTTTGAAATGCTCATGGAAGACAAGGTGAGTTGTCAGTGGTACTCTTATATCTTATAGATATTATTCTCATTCGTAGAAAAATGTTCGTTTCTGAACTTTGTCAGATGTTTTTGTCACCCCATTAGTAATACATTCATTACTCAGACCAAGAAGGAGTGAATCTTAATTCACGACAAAGCATTATTTGTGCAGGGCTTCGATGCAGCTGACATCGAGAAAAAAGTGGGTGAGTATCGAAAATTATTGTTGAGTCAAGTGATATCTGGTGAGTTGGATATTGAAAGCGAAATGAGTATGAATGATAGTCATGCAAGAGCGAAGGCAGCTATCGAAAATCGTGATCGTATGCGTGCTGCACTTGGAATCGATGAAAAATTCGTGGATGGAAGTTCATTTGAAAAGTTCGTTACATTCTTTGTTCCATGTATTCAATCTTTTTTATAACGTTTTTCTTAAATTAATCATTCTCTTCGTTATTTAAATATTTATACTTTTACGTGCATTTAAGTGTGTATTATTAATCTGTTTGTCTCTCAAGGATGAATAAGAATGTTGGTGGTGCAGCAACCGTTGAGGATGATGTCGATGTGAAGAAAAGAAATTTGGATGATAGCAGCAAAACAGGGAAAAAACAACAAGACAAAAGAAAAGCTGAAAATGACAAGGTTAATCCATCGTGCAGTGTTGTAACCATTTTTTAAGGACCGAAAGGTTGAAATTATTGTATGTTTATATTAATGGTAACCATATGACTTTTATGTAAAATTGTTGAGAAAAAACTGGTTAATGGTAACAATCCATGTAATTTATCAAAATGCAGAAATCACCGAGCAAAAAGCGATCACAGAGACATCGATCTGAAACGTCTTCATCATCGAGTGATAGTTCAGCGTCATCAGATTCCAGCGACTCGGATTCCGATTCCAGCTCATCACCATCACCTGAATCTGAATCAGATGCTGCTGCAACATCATCATCGTCATCAAAACGTACCTCAAAATGCCCTCATACGTCCAGAAAATCAGAGGATGTGAAATATGATGATGATGTTGATAAGAGTAACCATTTGAAAGCAGTGAAGAAAATGGATAAGACGAAAGCAAATAAATATGGTCAGAATGTTGAAGAATCATGTGAAAAGGACATCAGAGTGATGAAGGATGATGGTGATAATTTTGATAAAGGAACAGATAAACGCAAAAGAAGTGCAGAGAAAGATGATGCCACAGATGGGAGGGAAGCGTCGAAGAGAAAAAGGTTTGAGTGGTTGATTCGTTGTTCCTTATGATCGTTTATCTTTGCTTTCATTATGTATGTACGCATGATACGGATTGAGGGAGACCAGGATGTTTGTAATTATTACCTTTCTTTATGCAGAGAGTATTCATCGCCAACATCTCATAGTAGAGGCAATTATCGTGACGAAGAAGGAGATAGTCGTCATCATCGTCGAATTCGGGAGCAACGTTATCAATCATCGCCGGGTTATCACCGTAGAGGAGCAGACCGAGATCGATATGATGAATACCGTGGTCGAACTGCTCGAGACCGCGGAGACGATCGATTTGATCGTTCGGAAAGTCATCACCGTTACAGGTAGCTAGCTAGTCATTTCTCGCAGTAGTGCGCATTTTAATTAGCAAACGTCTTCGAATTGCTGTGAAGTGCTTTGCGATGAAGCGAAGAGTGTATGAAAGAATGAGTAATTTGGACGATTAAATAATTTGTATGCATGTGATTGAATCCGTTCGAATCAGTTATAATGAGTGTTCATTTATTTATCCATTCACTCAACGCTAACATCTAAATTATTAAAATTGAGCATAAATCATTGATTGGTTAATGAAATGTCTAAATGATCAAATATTGCAAGTCACCTTCTTCAGATCCTCTCATTTCTCTCAACGTCATCAGTTGGCGAATGAAAGTGGCGATGAAAAAGATAGAAGTAGAAGAATAGAGAAAGGTAGATATGAGCATGATCGTAATCATCGTCATGAACGAGAAGAGGACGATTCCGAATTAAATCGTGGCCGAGTTGGTGAGGATCGAGCACATGATCGGGATTGTAAACGACATGATTCAGATGAAGAAGAAGAAATAAGAACGAAAGAACAGCACTATGATAATGAGCGTAAATTGCGTAAAAATGATGATCGCAATCTGCAGAAGCGACATCGTCAATCTTCGGAAGATGTTAGCTGCAGCAAACCCAAGCAACAACAGAAAGACGACCAACAAGGTAAAGATGATGTTGGCGGTGGTGAAGGTAGTAAAAGAAATGAAGGAGAACATAGAGAGAACCGTCGTCATAATCGTTATGATATTTCAGATTCTGGCGACCAGGATGACGATGTTCATCAAAAAACTGAAAAGTCAGGACAGCAGTCGTTAAAGTCACATTCTCATCCTGCTCATGATCACCGCTCAAGATCAAAGCAGCAACAGTCAGCATCTTCCTCTTCTGAGTCCTCGTCAAGCTCTTCGTCATCAGAATCTGATGCCAGCAGCCTGGGTTCAGACTCAGACTCTGGTTCATCTACCTCAACTACTGAAAAATCCCATCATACATCAGAAAAGGGCCACTCAAAGAATCACAAATCTTGTAATGATGATGGTGGTTCTGTTAATGTTTCAAAACTTCGTGAACCTGTTTGTACGAGTGACTGACCGTTGTTGCCAGTGAAATATGTGGGTGATAATTACTGTCTGTCTGCTAATCTATATTTTTTTCGATTTTCAGGGTTATGAAGAAATTTTGAATCAAGGAAGTTTAAAAGAAGAGAATCCAGTTATTTCAATATTAGAAAATGAAAACGATTGCTTAGTTTTTAATTTCAGATCACAGTTTGCTGATTGACTAGACATGGATAGTGAATGTGCATGTTTTCGAACAGATTGGGTAAAAAGCAAGAGATAACATCAGTCTAAGTATGTCTAGAAAATATTGTTTTGTTGATTATGTACTTTTGTATCATTTCAAAAGAGTATGTTACAAACAGGAAGATTGTATTTTTATCATTGATAGTTATTCTGTTCCATAGACGTGTTGATGATATTCATGCTGCATGGAACCAATGCCACGAGACTGGAGAAGAAGAAAAGTTTCGTTTATTTCATTCCAATAACTTTGCAACATGAAAATTTATATCATTTGCAGTTCCCAATTATTTGTATTTTTCCTTCACTTCATTCAGTTGCAATTGTATTGTTTTGCTTTCATTTCAATAAATCTTTTGACGGTTTTGGACAAGCCGAATCTAAAATGGTAAATAATTCAAATCGAAACATCAACTAATAGAGGCTTAGGAAGATGTTGATAGGTTTAATAACGGCTGTATTAGTAGATCGTTTGTGAAATTTGTGATTATCGATTGAAATTTGACGAAACGTTTCTAAAGAAGGGATACTTGATGCATGTTAACAGTTGACGCAAATGCTCATATCGAAGTGGTCGTTATGAGCTTGTTTGCTCATATGAAATATTTAGGAGATTTTAGTGCCTTTTACGTTTATTAATCTTTTTCGCTCAACATCTGCAGACCGCTAGTCGCCATTTTCATTAACGTTATGCTAAAAAGAAAGTTCAAATAGTCATTTTCGGAATACACCTGAAACTGTTTATTACAATATTGTTGGCGTTTATTCATTGCGAGAGTTAATGATAATTTCGAGTTTTTATCGATGTTATGTTGGACGGACAGAAAAAAATGAATATTTGTTAGCAGTTATAGTTTATGAGTAGTGCACTGTCATGTAAATGCGAATTGAGTGCGATTGATAAAATATTTAACGTAATATTTTTATTCATATGCATGCTTCAATTGGAGTTGTTGATGAAAATGATAATAACTGATAAAAAATAATCCTAGTACAACATAACTGAGAGTATTCACATGATAGAATTCGATACCATATCACTAGCATCAAAATTCTTATATTCAGATGGGCATTCAGGTCCGTCATTATCGCCTTTTCATTAAGTTCAGTTTTTCATTGAATTCATCGTTATCTCTGTTCGTTTCACACAACTTTACTAGAACAATGTGTTGCACGATCGTCGTTATGCTCTTTAAGATGCATTGTTTCAGATTCATACATAAATCATTAATCGAAGCTGGGCCAATTTCTTTCATGTTACGCATTAGTGATCGTCACTCGTAACAAGAACAGAATTTATCGGCTAGGAAAACGATTCTTTCAGAGTTGAATACTACAAGGCGGAATAAGAGTGTCCGTAAGTAAATAATCATAGGTAAATACGTAAAGATGGCATGTGAATATTTTTATTATCGAAGCTTTTTGTTCAGTTCGTTGATGAATGCGATTTATTATTGCAAAAATTTGTTTGCTTACAGCACATGCTTTAGATGATTTCCATTTGATCAGTTTTTACTTTTCATCCATCCATTTCAAAATCCTGCTATTCAGTTTTCTAAGGGGCAACACATGCGATTCCGTTTCAGAATGAATCATTCACATCATTTTTATACTGTTTTGATTGTTTCATTATATTCTTCCAAAAATAACAGCTCATGATCAATCATTTTATGATCTTACATTTTCTTGATCATATCGTTTTCTTTATTGTCGTTGATCATTGCGTTGTTCGCTGAAAGTGTCATATCACGTAACGGTCTCGTCTTTTCATCGCTCAAAAAAACGTTCAATTCATGTGATTTCCTGCAGAGACAAGGAACGATGAAGTCAGAAACACATTTTTTGATGCGTATCTTGATCGCTTACGTAGTCGTTGCATCGATCAGCTGTTTAGCTTTTGCAAAGGATCTTCCGGTATTTATGCTAAAATCATCGATACAATCGTTTGGATCGTCGAGTTCCTTTCCGCCATAAATTCCTCTCGTATTCTGAGCATCAAAGTCAAGAATACTATACTCAGTTTCATGCGAGTTTCCCGCAGAACAATCAGTCAATTCAAGATGTTTGATTAAACAGGAAAATTGACATTTTATCAAAATGATCTGCTCAATGTTGCAACTAATGGATGTGAAGGAAACTATGAAAAAGGGGCTAGGCAGTTTATTGAAGTGGTTTTTGGTAGCAACACAAAAGTTCTTATAACTGTAAATATATCTGATGGAGCCATAAGTATTGAGTGATGAAACGAATAAATTCCATCAAATTAAGAATATCAAATGAATTTGCTACTCTTGTTAGAATTTTGAACTCCTGTAATTCATCAATTTTCCAATACATGTAATTTCAGCTGTATAATCGTCTAAATTATTTAATGAAGAAACAGCGCGATGCTGATGAATCGATGCGGAATTTAAAGCTAGTCTCAAACAGCATAAATGGTAAAAGATACAAAAATATTCAAAACATCAATGATGTCGAGAATAAAAATAACAGTCCAAAATACAACGGTGCAGCCGTACTGTTCCGACCGGATTACGCAATTTGGAACATGTTGAATGCACTCAAGAATTATTACCGTTCAGCACGCGGTATTTATTCATTTGTTCAATTGATTGATTAATAAATGAGTTCCTCACAATCAGTTAAATAAACAGATATAAATCCATTCATTATATTCTAAGAACGAGGAATAATTGAATTCAGTCTGTTCAGACGTTTGATCGGAACCGAATCAAGAACCAAGAAGGAAAGACGCTAGACTGACGAGGAAAGAGAGCATTATGATATATTCACTTCTTGATCTCGTATATTATATTTGAATATTAATTCATACTAATCAGACTGGATATGTGCAAAGAAATATGTGAGGATGTTTTGTGATATGGCATTGTGCGAATAAACCTTATCACCTTTTTGAATCTTTTGCATCTTGTGTTTGAGCATTTCTGTGGAATGATGAATGAAGATTATTTTTTGTTTTGCATACATTATTGTTGCTATCGGTTTTCGGATGAAGTATTTGCAAGAAGTGAATTTTTCGTTTGCATCGACAACGATTTGTTTCAAGAATAAAAATTTTCGTCGTATCGCCAACCATCATCAAGAGCACTACCAATCAGACTGCAAATGCAAATTTAGCATTACCAATCAGACTGCAAATGCAACCCCTGGAACAAGGAATTTTTAGTCGGAGACATTCACTTCCTTCGTTGTGCTGAATTTGCTTCCTACAGAAATGTCAGAAAATTATGGCGTGGCAGAAAAGAATTGAACGAACTAATACCTTGAAAATGTAGCTCTTCATATTCTCCTATGATAGTGGTCCGTTTTGAGTAATTTGGAGGTGTCAGGGGGTAATAGATGAGGTCAGAAGATTGGTATTTGTTATGATAAAATGCTGTTGTGATGGTGTTTTTTTACTCGGATATCTGAACGCGGCCTGCTCATAGAAACACTCTTCTTTATCATATTTTCTGAGTACCTCTACCTCGCCTGGGCCTGAACAAAAGTCAGATTGAAGTATTTACAAATATTTCATAAGGTCCTTAAATATATTCATCCTCTTATGAGCAGTAGGCCATCGTCTCTTATGAGTAGTAGGAATCGACTGAACTCCTTGATTTTGTTTGAACTGATCGATTATTGCACTGAAAAGTTTTCTAATTACTGCATATTATCGGGTTTTTGCTTGATCAGCAATTTTTTTGAACGGAGTAACTGCTCAGTCGTATCATAGATACTATCTGGATTATGACAAACGTGCACCATGCGATCGTTGTGCTTTGGGATTCTACATTAAAATTTTTTACATATTTATGAATGAAACGTTACGCGTGGAACTAGTAAGTTCTTGTAGCGGAAAGGAGGGGGGCTAATGACGACCTGTCAGACCATCGACAACGGTAATGGAGCACTCGAGCGTGAGAATCACTGCTCTACGAATGAATAAGATGTTCGAAAATTGCGTAGTCTTTGAAGTTCGCTTCTTTCGAATTTAGAGAAAACTTCAGAAAAAAATTTCTGTGATGTCATTAACATAACTGAATAAAATTTACACACACTCAAATATATTAGAAAGATTTTTGATTCGGTAGGAAAGTGAAGATAAGTACAATTTAGCCTTTTCCGCTTGAAATAGGCTGACAATTTTTGGTTGAGATTTAGTTTGAGGCTCAAGCACACGCACAAAGGCTAGATTAACATCTATTTGTCTTTGCCACCTCCTTACACCGTTTTAACAGACATATGACAGCTCATCACCACTTCACCGAATAAATATATGAAGCTGACGCATGTAATTTTCGTATATATTTTTACATGCATATATTTTCTCAGCGATGTGTTGATCAATAGAAAACTCCTATATCATTGGTGTGTGCTGCGTTGCCGCTGTTTATCTCATCGATTTTTACGATGTTTTGCACTTTACTTGTTTTTCTTAGTGCGTTTCGTTATATAACACAGTTTCACAACTCGCTGCTCTTTTGGGTCAGCCGTCTGCCAATAAACCTGTAGTTTCGACCCGCTACTCTGTTTTTCAGTTTTTCTACCTTTTATTAGCATAATTTTTCGTTCCACATTTATTCGACACCATAATGATGTGGAAAAAGTGCTTCAAAAATTTTAATGTTAAATGTGGGTGTTTTAATGTTTCAGAAGCTTAACATTTCTCCGTGATTCATAAAAATGCCTGGACTTTTCCCATTGACGCTTCGACCAGTCTCCGAACGATGCTTGAGTCGATTACTGATAACCAGGATGATGGCAGCTAAAAAAATAATACCACCGTCGGCCAAAAAACAACTCGAAGTAAATACAGATGAGGGACATTTCAACTATCAGCGCTACTGGTCGAGAGACAAACGTTTCGCAGCGCAAGCTCCTGGTGATACTCCAGCACGGTTGGTGTACTGATCTTTCGTGCCTAATCCATTTCATAACAGTCTTCTCTCTATGTTTTTTGGCATTAAAAAGCAGACAGTCATTTGCCATTCCGAAATAAATCCGCAATTCAAACGAACTGGCGATATCTTCTCGTATAATGTTTCGCACTACGTTTGTAGGAATGAAGGGACAAAGTTCTATTTCATTTATATTTTCTGAAAGAACTGACTCATATTCATGCTCATTCAGAGGCGATCAATTGGTCGTTCATGGGTTTGATTTGTTATCAGCTGCTGCACTGGTTTCATTCTGTCGGGTGAGGTGTGTGCAAGTTGTTTTTCAGGTTCATGTTACGTCGTCTGGGACATGCCTATGAAGTGTATCCGTTGATATTCTTGGCTGGTTTATGGTTCTGCGCATTTCTGGTGATCGTTTACGTTAGCGTTGGTAAAGTGGAAGTTTGGCTGGATCGAAGTATGGCAGCTCAACCTTGTTCTGTCTTACACTAGTACGAAAATTGATGAGTGAAAGAGCGGGGACGGGGGGGGGATGGGAGGCTGGCGGGCAATTTGTATTTATCGAGGGTCACAATCACCGATCTATAACGGAAGTATAGATATTCTTTGTACTGAACATGAAGTTTGTTCGCCGTTTTGTTGAAAATTTGTCCAACTTCAGGCCAAGAAGAAGCTCCATGGGACTGGTCGAGAATCCGTGATAATTATTACAAGCAACATACAGTGATGTGAGTGTTTGTTGGTGGCAGTTGATGATTCATTCGGTAAATTTAGTAGATTGAACATTCGTATCTTAAGGTTCGATGTGTTCGGCAATACACATCAACGACTCGAGATTATGGAGAAATTACAAGACGAAATGGCAGAAGCCGCCAGACAACGTGGCACTCGATAAGGAGACAGCGTATATTGCATCAGTGATGGGTCGCTGTCGGCTCAGATCTGTTTTTGTTCATTGTCCACTGGTGATTATCATTATCCTAATTGCTGGTACTTGTATTGTGATATTACAAGGAACTGTGTGTCTTGACACGTGCCATTCATCAATTCCTATTATTTTCTTCTCATTTTTCCCGTATGTTTTGGAATTGTTAAAATGTTTAGCTGAGAAGGTTGTTTCGCTCTTGGTACTGCTACTGCTTGCTCATCGAATTGTTATTGATATGATTACTACGATCGTGTGTGTAGTTTTAAAAGTCGTTCTTTGCCTCACCACCTCGACGCTTGTTGTCATGCATCTCCAAATTAACTAAATCTATGAATTGAATAATCGGCCAGTTAACAGTATATTTTTATCATTACTAGTGTCTTGGATACATACATTAAAGTGTCTTCAAGTGCGTGTCTTGTATACATACATATATACATTAAAAATTATAAAAATTGCATTATATTTTGTCATTTGACGTATTTGCATTCACCTATATATGTTACTGTCATAGATCGTTTTGGATTAAACCGTTGTTTTCATATTATTTGTTCGTAATGTGGTTAGTTGTTTTTGCTTGTGTACGCAAATAATTCTTATAATTACATGAAATGAGCTGCTGCTTTCGGTAGGGAACTGTAAATAATTTACTGAAGAGATACATAGTGGCGTATTAACACAAGAAATTTTCTTTCGGTTAGCTGTGAATTCATCAATCATCATTTGTCTATGAAATTTCATATTTTGATTTTTTCTTTCATTAACGTTTTATGAAAAGACACCTAATAAATTCAAGCTTAAGTGCACGTATGCAATGTATCGAAGTATTGTACATGAAGTGAATTATTTATGCGAGCTCTCGATCATCTAATTTGCATAATTTTATCATTGAATGTTGCATAATTGATGCAAATATTTCGATTTGGCTCATTTAAGACGTTTTGTCTGTAACAGACAAAAGTAAGTCGTTTTTATAAAATATTATTAATTGTTTGGCTTCATCAATACCGTCGTAGACATAACAAATCATCAGATAATCATATAGATCGTTTTATTAAAACGAATCGAGGAACAAAAAGCAAATCATTCATGGAGGTAAAACAAAACTTGAAGAACGATCAAAGATGAATACATACATAATTTAGTGGTTGCTGGAGCATGAAAAAGAAGTAGAAATTGAAATACAACTTGATTTGTTGGGCAAAGCACAGCGAACAAAAACAGCTAAGAATTGGAGGTTCCTCCCCGAATTTATGTATGAAATTTTGTTGAAATTCCTCATTTTGTGCCTACAATATTGCACTTTTCTCGCACAACTAACGTCGAAGAAATTCATTGAATAGTTTCGCTCGGTGTGATTGCCATCAACTAAGAAATAACCGATGAAATGCTTCCGTAAAAAGCTCATAATTCGGCCTTTAATTCCGAAGAAACACCGCTTATATTGTAGCGATGAAGTAATAAATGTAAACTGACAGTGGTAATGATAAGAACAGTAACAATAATATTAGTGATAAGAATCAATAATAATGATAAGCTCAAATACGCAAATAAACAAATGTACCTATGTATATGTTTTGTATTTTGACAAAAAAAGCACAAAATAATAATGCTGTATAAATAACAGCAGTAATAATGATATTGACAATAACGACAGTAGCAATAAAAATAACAATAATAATAATTTCTATCTATTACTATCAATGACAGTCTTGATGTAATATATCACATAATAAGCTCACTTATGACTGCTCTCCTAGAGATAAAAGAAACCAAATGTCTTAAGAAAAGACGTTCTCACATAAGCTATGAACAATGATAACCATTAAAATTAGCACTTTTGCATGAAATCACTCCAGCATAAGATTGTAAAGGTATTCTGAGTGTGGTTCTAGACGCGCATAAAAACTGGAATTTGAACGCTGTTTGATCTATGCATGCTACTCCAAAATTGCTCTCTTTCCTTCCAGATAAAACTACGCCTCATGGTGGGTATAATCTTCGTTTTAAGACACTATGAAAACAATGACCGGAATTGTTAGCAGATCGTTATCGTATCGTACCAAATCTTAGTCGAATACAATGAATCGTTAATCATGAAGCAAATACAGTAAAAAGATACAAAAAAATATTGAATGAAACGAAAAAAGAAAAACAACTCAATAAGAATTCATGGAAGAAAAGTGAACACTAGCGATAATCGCACTTATATTTGTATGTAAACTTGCAATCGGTCACCTATGCAGTTTTTTGCACGGGGCGGATGGGAGGAAGGGGTGGGGGTGCGGTGATTTTGCTTTCTTAGGTCTTTTACAGTAGGGGTAGCTTTTAAACTGCGATATTCCGTTTGTTTTACTGGTAATACGATTGTACGCAAAACTTTGTTCCGTTGGCGACATTCAAATATCGTAAAATAATTATACCCATATTTCAGTCATCTTTTAAACTTTTTTCATTTTTTCCATTAGTTTTCTTCTAAGCTGGAGGTGGCCACATATCCTACAACCCTCCTCTCGAACGGCTGCGTAAACCATTGTGTACAATTTATATTACAGAAAAAATTAGGAGGAAGCGATTTAGGACCAGAAAGAATTATATAAGAAAAATTAGATATGATACTTATAAATATTACAGGCGAGTTCAAATTAAACTACTGATTTAGTACTGAATCAATCACACAATGAAACTGACGACGATGTGTGCACTAAAAATCGCACGATTTGAGATCACAAGCCATTACAATTGTGCTGTTGCGTTTGCGGCAAAAACACGCCAGAAGAAATTTTAAAAAAAGATTAACGTAACACTCATAATATAAAATGTTATCCGATCGCCTAAACCACAATATAAACACGTCAAATGAAAGGTGATTCTTTTGGATGAGCGCTTTCTTTTCGAAACTGAATGAAACTGTTAACAGATAATCGTTTGCAAGCTGGAACGAATCAAGCATCGAGCACAGCCAGAAACAAGCGATAAACCGTTTAGGTATGATATATGCAATAGTATTATGCGACATTTTTATCTAGGTTGTGCATTATATATGGTGGTTTGGTCGATGGAAACGCAAAACGCATGATAGACAATTAACTTTGAAAAGCTTCAAACGTCTGACACTTCCCCGCAAGAAAAACCCGTGATTTTCTCTCTTTTTTAAGTTAATCTTCTACAAACGTTGACAATTCCAATGAACTTGAAGTGGGTTCATCAAATTCTTTGCCAATTTAGTGAGCATTGTAAGCGCTAATGAATGCACCTTAAAATATGATCAAAATCATCACAAAGTGATTCGCCACATAGTCGAAGCAACACTGCGATAGACATATACTCCTACACTTTGCTTATTATTTTTTAAATTTTTTCAGTACCGCCCACCAGCAAAATGTAAGGAAATGAAATAAAGTCATGAAAATATTTTGAATGTTTATATATTTATGCATGTATATTTATTAAATTCTTGAGTATAATATTTGTAGAAATTTAATCTGAAATAGTATCACCTCCTTTGCACGTTGTGTGTTATAAACGGTAATTGCTGTTCACTGAAATGATGATCAAAACGAGCAGTATTGTTATTACTATTGTTACTGGCATAGGCATATGATTGTAAGCGATACTGGATGGGATCAGCATCGAAATTACAATGTAGCATCATGTCGGTTGCACTCGTGAATTGGGCTCCTGCTGCTGCTCCTGCAACTTTTTGCTCAGATGACCAGCAATAAGGTGGCTGTGGTGAGGATGCCTCGTAGAAATTACTCGATTCATCGTCTGCATACGTTCGATAATGTAACGTCGGGTGACGCTGATATTGATTCGCTCTGAAATTGATTTCTGATAGCGATTTGTTCAGCTTTAATCAATAGGCTTCTTCCTCGTTATAGTAAACTTCTGAGCATTCTTCTATCACGCATTACACAATTACTCCACGAAATGCGTATGCTACCACTCCAGCCAATAACAACAATCAATCTTACATCACATCATCTTATCTGTCCAGATTGCTCATCTACTTTGATCGGTGATAAAGCACTCACTTTCGAAACCTACTATCGCGTTCGATTGGTGTCGACACGTTCAAGAATGGGCGATGGTGCGCTGAATGTGCACCGATGAAGTCTTGTCCGACCAACAGAGGATACCGTGGACTTGTGGCCAAATTCACTTGGCTATGTTGCTGTTGATGCGGTTGTTGTGGTAATGCTGTATACGGTGATAAAGGTGCTGGCGCTTGAGGGGGCGGCATGTTGGGGGGTGGAGGACGGAGTGATCGAATTTTCTGATTAGTATTAACAGTACTTTGAATGCCGTTTTTATTATTGATGGTGATATTTTCATTATCATTCATATTACTACAATTGTTATTGAGTGATGATTTAGTGTTGTTGTTGATAGTACCAACTAATGCGGTGCTGGCTTGACGAATATTGATCGTGTTTGATGAGTGACCACTAATGCAGTCTTTCATTGCTGTATTTTGCTGAGTACGGTACAGGAAATAGATTGCGTAACCGATAGCGCACACAATGAGTGCAGTGATCGGTACACCAGCATAGAAATAAATGCTTGAGATTTGAAAACTGCTTTCGTTGCCTGAAATTGTTGTTTTTGAGGGTTTATGTTTATGATAATGACAACGACTGGTGCTGATAGATGAACTGAACGAAAGATACGCTTGAAATAGCTGAGAAATCGTGTAAGGAATGGGTAACATGTTGTTAATGATTAGCAGTTACTGATGATAGACATCGGTGTATCAGTATTTTTGGAAATTCTTTCAAGGGAACAGTAAACATGAAACCACTTATGATGCTGACTGATCCAGCTGAATATTCAACTCATAGCTAAGCCAGTCTGCTTGTCACGATCGACTGCTTCGTCCGAAACCAAATGTGACAACTCGAAGTCTACTGGCGATATGGTTAATAAATGAACAACAAAATTAATGAATTAAGGAATAAATGAAATAACCAGAACTCTACCAGTGATAATATTCAAATGTGCGGATCGATAAACAATATCACCATCAGCGTTCGTCACTACGCAAATATAAGTACCAGCATGTTGGATATTTGCGTTCGGAATCACTAAACGATTGGCGTAAATACCTTCGTTCAATTGTGTATTCGTTTGCGTCTCTTCGATAAGCAATAGGTGCATATCATTCGCGTGTATCAATGTTGCATTCGCATCAGCACGTCGAATCGACGCTGGATCATCTACACGTTTCAACCACTTAAATCATTTTCATTTTTAGACGAGTGGTAATAAGAGAAGTTATCATTATTACATTATTTTGTTTGACCTTTAATAAACAATATCATAAATGACCAAATGAATGAATGAATTGTGCCGAAATATTTTCGAAAAAAACAGAATAAAGATGTTCTAGAAGATAGTATGAATGACCTTAATAAGTGGTTGATGTTGGCTTTTGACTTTACACTGAAACTGAGCAGTATGCCCAATTCGTATGGTACTATTGAATGGTTCATCGATTAATGGAGATTGTTGTATCGTATGATCATTGCTATTATCATTATTTTTGTGAATATAATCATTGTTATTATTATTATTACTAATATTATTGTTATTGTGACCACTGGAACCACTACTACCACTAGGAGTATGTAACAGCAATCGATTTTCGTCGTCATTTCCAACTGCTGAATTGAAGAAATCGCCAACTCGAACGCGGAATGTGGCCTCCACCAAGCCATGCTCGTTCTCCACACGACAAATATATTCACCAGAATCACTTATTTTCAAATTGTTCAGTGTCAATAACGCAGACGAATGTTCAAATGTTATCTCGTCTGAAATTGATATCACTCCATCATTACTCATTTGCAATTGAAAAATGCCTCACAAAAACACTACTGTTGCAAACATTCAGTTCTGCAAATAACAAATGAACATCTCTAATGAAAACACTATTCGTAATCATGGAATAAGTTCACTGTTAAATTGAACACGAATCGTCAACTTTGCAGTACGATGTAGAACGAAAATAGTTGCAACTTCAACTGTAGTTCATTATTAGAACTAGTGAACTTTCGTGTGTGATTGATGAGCAAATTAAAACGATCAAATTATTAATGAAAAATGAGTGAAGAAGGAAAAAGAGATCAGATGTTAATATTGCTAACGTACCACGTTCGATCGGTTTATCGTTTCGTAGCCATATTATGTGCGGCAAAGGATTTCCACTTGCAGGACATTTCAACTGAAGACGTCCACCGATCGGTAAACGTAATGGTGCTAACATTGAATTACGCATTTCACTCTCATTTAACCATTTTGGTGGAGATGCTAAACACAAAAAATTTTTTGGTTGCTTCTTTGTAATGGGTATTATTATTAACGTAACGATTGTTGCTATTATTGCCTATATTATTATCATTACCAAATGCCCTATGAAAGAGACGAATGCATGCATCAACACTCGACTGTATAAGCAAATATCGCAACTTACAGCGATCAGCAAGTGTAATCATTTCATCGAGAAGGTATTTCTTGTCGTTTAACGGATCATAGACATGCACGATGAAATCCAATTCTCGATGTCCAAAGCCGTTGATCGCTTGACATTGATAGGTGCCGCTATCTGGTATTTGTGGATTGCGAATTTTCAACTCACGATCTCCTCTACTCAGTTTGTAACGGTTGTTGAAGTCGAAACTTAACTGCAAATTTTATGTTTTTATCGCATTGTTCAGTCTATTTGCGAGCTGATCGAAAATCCAGAACGCATTTCTTAGCGTTCTTAAGAGAGCAACAGCATGTTTTCACTGAACATTTGCCAACCATCTTTTGTCAGCCATTAATGCAGCATCCATTTTTAATCATCCATTCAGAGACCGTTTCACTTTTTCGTCTGAGAATGATAGAGTATGAAAATCAATTTGTATTAGCACTAACTTGTTCATCGTCTTTTTTCCACTGTATCATTACTAAACTGGAATCGAGCGTTTTTACGGGGCATATCAGTCTGAACTGTTTCGTACCGATCGGTACTCGGAATCTGGTTTGCACACCATCGGAGAATTCGGGTGGGGCTGAAATCATGCGTTACAATATAACATACATCTTAATATTGTTTATATTCATCGGTTTCTCAGCAGTGATGAAACGGATCACTTCAACTGGATATCAATCAGATCTGTATATGAGACATTCATTCAGTGTTAATTTGTCATCACCAGTGAATAGTCATGAACTGAACTGTATGTGCTTTCAATCATCAATTCAATAATGAATAATGCAACATCTAATTTGATGATTTATAATGTGTTATGTCCCTCTTTTCTTCCCCGACTTTTGCTTGTTTATTTGAGAATGAAATTAAAAACGATCATTTTTAAGAGAGAGAAAGAGTTGCTCGAGTGGAACGAAACGGTGAAGGTTTGGTTAGTCGTCGTTGTGATAGTGAACTGCAGTATAATCTTATTGAAGACAATACATTCAAAATGAGCCGAATTTGATGTCAGATAAAACATATTGGTAGAATCATTTGAAAATGTTTTAAGAAACGAGCGAAGAATCAAATTTGAGTGACGGCCGACTGCCTGACGGACGGACGGACGGATGAATGGATGAACTAACTCACGATGGTTAGAGCAGAGAAAACGACCAGTGAATATGGATAGGGATTGAGTTAAGTAGCATTCGAAAGTGATCGGTTAGTTGTCAAAAGATGAGATTACTGCCATTCGAACTCAATCAAATACATTGATAAGTGATTCGTTTCGACATTGTTATCATACCAATCAATCTTTACACACATTCACTCTTATTGTTACATTCATTTCATACACAACCAGTAATACTACATCTACTCTTTTACTTGTTATTATCGCTGTTATTATTATTATTATTATTATTATTATTATTATTATTACTGTTACTATTATCTTGAGTTTACTGCTGTCATCAATGGAAATGGAAGGATTCACGTTCGATTAAAGAAACGGGCAGAAATGCGTTATACAAAATGGAAAAGTGTATAATATTTCCAAAGAATTATGCACTAAATTGATCTCATTTTTAATCACGCTATTCACTCACTTGTACATGCGAGTAGCGAGGAAGTTTCGATATTGTATTGATAAATTTTAGTTATGGCAAGAAATTTTGTTGCATTTCAATAGTATTTTTGTAAAGGAGATTTTATTTTGACATGAGTGTGTATATGATATGATGAAGTATTGTGAACTTGAATTCGAGATAATACATAACAGTTCGAAATATGAGGCATCCTAGAAAGAAGTGGACGGATAGAAAGATTGGTGGATACTGCTGCTAAATGTCAACGATGCAATACGTAATTACATCATCACCGTCAGCATTCTTCATGTTGGTGACATCTGCACTGACGACTCATCACATCGCAACACATCTTGTCTCGTCCCATGCTCCTACTTATGATTATCCTCCTCATAATAGTAATCATATTCAACCCTTATCTGATCTGATCCTCTAGTTCAATCCCATTATCGACCACTCTACGCATCCATTTTCTCATCAATCTCATCGTAAGATCCACCCATAAGCCATACAACAACGTTCATATAGACACACGTGAAGTGAATGCTGCTCCATACATCAAGCACATATAAGTGTGTGATCGTCTCAAAAAACAAAAATATAGCCAAATCTCTTCATGTTCATAAATTGAATCCATTTACCTAACACATTTATTCAGGTCCACTTGTAATTGCTTCGTTGTTATATGAGTGAATATACATGAACATTAACCATGAGGTCGATAGTAATAATTTCGATAACAATAATAATGACGTGATAGGCCATATGCAAAAATGATTCTGACCATGAGTTTTCAACAGCAACTCATTACCGTTTCAATATGAAAGACATCTTGTCAAATTGGATCGATCCCTCTTCATACTGTAACTATGAAGACTGTCTCTCTTGTTTCCATTCTTCAACACCTATTATCAACCAGTTTCCTTCGTTACTGCTCTTTAGATCAAATTGCTCTCTTTCGTTGTCTCAGTCAGTATTCTGGTGTTGCTGAATGAATCCTTCGAATCTTTTATACTTCAAACGAAATCTAAGCGAACAATAGAATTTTGCTTGGTGCAACAATTCAACCGAAATGTCGTTGAGATCGAACTGTGTTATACAACAAACTCGCTGCAATTAATGCGACAATGAATGAAGAGAATGATAATCTTGTGAGCACAGCTGACTCAAATATGTGCAAAATTTACATTCACCTAATTACTAGCTCGACGAATCGCTTATAAATCTGCTTATTTTATTGGTTTTCTTTTCAAACTTTCTTTCGCCAAATTTTTGCTCTGCTTACCTTAACGATCTCACAACAAGCGTATAATTTGAAAGTGCAGCTTTTTTGTATCGTAGTGAGTTTGAGGGTTTCGCAGTTGAGGAAGATTTTAAAAACGATATTGTTTCAGTGAGTTTGAGATGTATAAAAATTGGGAAAATACTCGAGAGGGATCTGGTGAGAAGTGGAAGTTAGCAGTTTGCACTTGAAAAGATCTGATTCCGAGATGATGTATTGTTGTTGTTCGAGGTGATTAGTTGTTCGCGAAACGGGAACATCGCCATGAGAAGATATGCGAGGGGAACAGATGTAACAGTGGATAAGAGGAATAAGGTTGCTCAGCTATCAGACACTTAGCAATAATTGAAGTGTGCTTTTAAGGCTGACGAGGAGACGATTACGAGTATATGCTTTCTGTTTGTCGAGCAGATGCTTGAAATCGGATATACTGGCTGATCGATATGAATAAATATATATGCTCGCTCGTTCGTGTATCTCTAAACCTAATACATTCGTTGATTTGTATTGCAGAGAAAGAGAGGTTCAACCTGAAGATCAAATAATGAACGGAAAGATCAGTGCTTCCTCCGTGCCTCCGGGTTGTATGTGCTGTTGTTATTGCTAGTGCTGATGTATGTCTGCTCATTAAGGGCACTCACTAATTGCAAACAGAATAAAGATCATACGAATATCAAATAGCAGTTAGTTGGGAATGATGCTCGAAGGATGTTGTTGTTCGTCGGATGATAGTTACTTATTTGTTTATTTAATTGTATTCTTACAGCAAATAACTAACTAACCGTTTATATAAACCACTACTAGCCTTCATTCATTCTCTCCGTAAGCAATTCATTGCGTTCTTCATCCTTCTTTTAAACACACGCACACTTAGGCACATACACACTTACTGTACTTCATCATTCAATAGGCTAGCAATAAATAGCTAAGTAAATAAATGAATATCTTATTGACCTAAATCACTGAATCTTGAAAGCGTTTCTACCTTGCATAGGTTTATAGATACATATAATTATTAGCAGAGTTTTAACGTGCTTATTAATTCACATCGAAAGTTTGGAGATAGCCTGCCAACTGCCCTTAGAAAATGTGCATATACCATCACTTCATACCTACCTAAATTCTATACAAGCGATTGAAAATTTTTCATTTCAATCACTCACACAAATTGCCTCAGTTTCAAAAGAAATGAACAGCGAAAAAACAACCTAAATAATTAGCAAAAAGCAAGTGCTAGTCTGCATGCAATACGGCTAACGAACAGTGTAAGATTCCTTAGTGCTGACTGAAATTTTTGTGAATGGAGAGAGGTTTGTTTGAAATGTTGAATCAGTCATCAGAATATGCAATGAATATAGAAGTAAATAAACCCTAATCAAAATACTATTCAAGTATATAAATGTGCGCCTAGGAAGCGTGGAGAATCTCACCTTGAATCGTGCATAACAATAGATATGGTGGTGGCTGCATGCATTTTAGTACAGCATTTATAAATATTTATTCATGCAAACATTAGTATGAAGAATCAGTGGTATCATTAAACGATTGATGAAAATAGTTACTGCCTTGCTCTTATTGATATTATAGGTATTAATAATTATGCAAGGCTAAAGCAATGCCAACGGAAACACGAGCATTGTGGCCAGCAACGTTACAAACGTTTGATAGCCTGACCAATCCAGGTAATCCAGGTAAAATAATTTTGCCAGTATTTGACATATGAAACAACAATTCCACATAAATATTCATGGATAAATAATGATACAAGTCCAATTAAGATTTAATACAAATAGAAACAGGATAGGTCGTTCGGGGGTTTATTCGTTTGATGAATCGAATGTTGCATCGAAAACTGAGGTAGGGAAACGATGAAATTAAGCCAATGAATTGTTTAGCCAAAATGATAAAGAATAAACCAGATAATAGTTGTATTAGTAGAGATATTAGAGTTAGATTGTTGGTCATAGGATGATAGCATTGCTTGTTGTTTGAGGCATTATTATACAGAATTGCTCTTCGAGATTAAAAGATGAAGAGAAAAACGTAACTGATTGTTGTTATTTGTAAATTTATGATATCTTTGATGTGAGAGAGATGAATCGAATGAAAAGTTATGTGAACTGAATGAGTTTGTGGCTAATTCGTGAGTAGTGTATTTGTTGCGTTTGTCGAATAGGTGATAAAATGAACGATAAATGCTTTTTCATTTACTTCTAACAACAATCAGCAAAACCATTCGATATCATGTCTGTAGCCATGAACTAATTCTAGGAGGGCTTAGTTTACGTAGAATCCAAATCAACTACCTCAGGCAATTCACAAAGTCAAATTTGAAAAAAAACTCCTGCATAGTACGGGTGACCGCTCTTCCAAACGATACTGTTAACCCTTCAATTTCGCTTTTCTTAATCTCCTGCTCTGGCTGGAAGGCCCTATGATGAGTGTCGTATTTTAATGAAGAGATACTTTTAGAGTCACTGAATCACCAAAACAGATCACACAAATATTATTAAAACACCGCTGCTCATCATCCATTCTTCCAATCCCTTTTCTGTCGCTTCTGCTGTTGAATGTAGATTTGTCACACTAGTCAGCATTCGATGATTATGAGAAGGTGATGATGGTGATGGGTGACAAACATGGCTCTTGCTTGTCTTTTTTTAGATGAGCATACTATCATATGCTGCTACTTCTTAATGAGCTCATCGAAGCAGCTGGCTAATTTTTCTGGAGAAAAATT